CAAAAGGGGTTGACGGTGGCGAACCAACAGGAGGGTCGTCAGGATTATAGACACACACGGGAGGACAGGCAGAGCAAAGGGGTTCTGGAAACAGGTGGTTCTGGGTGGCAGTAGTGGGAGAGATGGTGCTAACAGGCACATTATTAAGTCTGAATATGCCAGAGTGAAGGCTTGAAGCAAGATGAGTAAATGCAAAGTGCTGCAACGAGGCTTGGCCCCTAACAGGCCATCACTACGTGGTTGTAGGCAGGTGAACGGAACCAGACAAGGAGCTGAATATATTCGGTTTTAATATGAGACACTCTGAAAACTGAAGCAACGGTGAGATCCCTATATCAATCCTCCCGACAACAACTGTCGGCCCCTGACCGGTTCAGTCCAGGGGCAGGCAGCAGTTCAGGGCCAGCTGTCCCTCAGGAATGTTCTGGTCACCCACTGAGAGGTTGCTACATTGACAAGAATTCCATGAAACTGCTTACTGGGCTCACCTCTATGGTGGGTGAGGGCTTGAAGACAGCCTTGGGGAGAATTTGGATGCAAAGAATTTGGTATAAGGGTATTCTGCCTGTCTATTCCTGGGTTAGCACCAAGGAAAGGCTGAGAAGGTGAAAATGAGCTCCAGTGCCACAGTGTCCCTTCTATGGGGGCAGGAGGGATTTAGCATTCAGGGGCTGCAAACAGGGATTAACTCAGCCCTCGGACCAAGGGAAGAAGAGAACCATTACTCAAATGAGTGGAAATGGGGTTCCTTCACATCATGGTCCAGAATAAAAATGGAACCTTGAAAAAAGAAGGGCAAAGGTCTAATTCTCCTGGATAAGAATAAAACAAACTATCAGCATGCCCAACTAAAAACGATAGTTATGTACATTATAACACATCCCTGAGGACTATACATATCATGCCGTGGAACTACATTTGCTGATATAGAAAAATGTGGCTCCACCTCCCCAAGACTCAGTTCCTCATCTATAAAATGGGATTAGCAGGAGACCCTCCTTCGCAGGGTAGCAGAAGGCAGGAAATGAGATAATACAAGGGAGGCTCCTGACACCAGACCTAGCGCATAGTAAGTGTTCAATAAAAATGTTAGCTTGTGTTAGTGTATTTTGTTAAGAAAAAGTCAGGTGCCAAGATAATATTCATAGCAGATCTTAGGTTTGTTTTAAAAAGCTATATGTAAATAAATGGTAGAAAAATGTCTGAAAGTAGAAACCCCAAATGGTGAACATACGTGATCTTTAGGTGCTGGGGTTACAGTGTTCTGTAGTTTGTACTTATTTTTCTGTAGATTTTATAAGTTTGTTTCTTAAACAATAAGTTTTCTATATTTTCAGAATAAGAGGAAAGGAAGGAAGGAGGGAATGAAGGTAGGAAGCAATTGGGAAAGAAGGAAAGAAAAAGAAAAATGAAACACTATCCTTATCACCTAAATTCTCAAACCTGAGTGAGTGGTAAAGCAGATAGGGAGTCAGATGCACAAGGTCCATTGCTACTTACAGAGCTCACAGTGACACAGGAAAATGCTTGTAGTGTGATGTAAAGGGAGAGCCAGGATACAAAATGTTTTAGGCATCATAATGTTAACTGTTAAACAAAATGCCTAGAAAAGGGATTTGAGGCAAACATGCCAAAATATTAACAGTGATTACCTCTGAACACGAGGGTTATGGTTGATCATTATTGTCTTAAGACTGTTTTGCTTTTCCAAACTGTGCAGAACGGATACAATAGCAAATATAATGGCAATAACAATACTAGTAACAATAAATTGCTCTTACTTGCTTGATGGAAACCAGCAGCAGCAGGGCATGGAAGGGCCTCACGGGGGTCCACAGGGGATGTTTGCTGTGGCGGGGGAGAGGCCAGGTCCCCAGGGCAGCAGGGGTGGCGGTGGACAGCATGTGGGCTCCAGGCAGAGGCCCCCCCTTCCTCCTCCTGGGTGCTGTCCTGCTAGATTCCGGCCTCATCTCCCTCGCTGCATATTCACAAGTGTGGGCACATCCCTCCGGCCGTCCAAGATGTACCACGGGCGGCCTTGTCTTGCATTCCTCTGCGTACAGCGAGGAAGTGTTTGCACAGTTCTCTCCACGCCGCTCACAGAGTGTCTGAGCCCGTCTAGAGCAGTCTACTGCATCTCCACAGTTTCTCATCAACAGTGGCTCGTCCCCCGCCCCGGCCCCCCCAAAGGCGAGAAGATTTTTCCCAGACCTCCCTCAAGTCAGCTGTGTCCCTGGAACTTCCTCGGCAAAGGACGCCAAGGAGAAAAAGCAGGGCGGTCAGCGGGTTCCACCCACGAAGCCCCGCGCAGTGCACACGGCCGGGGCGGGGCAGGCTCAGGTCGGAGCCGCCTAGGAACAGCTGGCCGGACAGCAAGGGCCTCAAGCCAGTTCCGAGGTGGGCATCTGCACGACAGGGGACGTTTCTCAACAAGGCATTAAGCTCGTCCAGGCCAGGCTGAGCCCAGCCACAAAGGCAGGGCCTCCTCCTCTGGGCCCTGTTTATACCAAGACTTCAAGAGAGACAGTTGCCTGGCCCAAGAGGGAGCAGCTCCCGACCCACAGGGCCTGAAGCAAAGCTGTAACCAGCGACTCAAGTTCCATCTACACAAGAGCAAAACGACATGCTGAAGGCAAACGCTCGTCTTGATTGCCCACTTGTGAGCAAATGTTGTTCTGTCCACCTGGCTGATCCTTTTTTGGAGTCCCCAGTCCATCACTGGCTAACTAACCTATTTTCTCACCACACTTCACATTTATAAAACCTGGCACCCAATGTCCTATTTCATTCATCTTCACAATAACCTTGTGAGGGTATGATTATTTCCCCACTACCCATCTGGGAACTGAGGTTCAGAGAGGTTAGGTTGTTTGCCTAAGGCCACACAGCAAGTAACTGGCAAAGCCAGGGTTCCCAGGTCTTCTGACCAGAATGGTCTACCTGGTAAGGCCCCATATCTTATCCTAACTCTCTAGATGAGATCCTTTCTCTAGGGAGGCTGGGAAAGGCTCTGCATGGCCCTTCTCTCCCTACCTCTCCTTGTCCAGCTCCCAAATTCCCCTTCTAAGTCTTCCCAGCCTCTGGAATCCGGGCGCAGGTGAAAGATGTCCTGACTGGTTGAAATGAAGGTCGGCTAGAGATAAGAAGATCATATTTTCATTTCGTTTTTTTTTTTCCATTCAAATTGAACCACAGGAGCTCATCTTGGTTAACTTATCTGGGTGAATTCTGAACAGTTAGGCAAAAACAGGTGAACATCATATAATAGAAATCCTTGGAGATCTTAAAAACCCCATGTGGCAAGATTTAACCTTAGTGGAAAAATGCTCATAATGAACAAAGACCCTCGAATTTAGTCTTATAACAACGTGACCTCTGTACTCAGTGTGGTTGTCTCTTTGGGACAACAGAGACTAGAATGAAGTGACAGAGGGAGTGATGGGCTGCGATCCTTTTGAGATGCTGTAAAACTATTCTGTGACTGCCCATTATAGATTATCTTCCAAGGTGCATGCTGGCAAAGGACGTGCCTGCTTGGAAAGACTATTCTATCCAATCTCTTTGAACTTTTTCTCAGAAGCATCCTTTCTCTGAAGGGACACGGCTTCCCTGTCCGTCGGGCGGATGCCATCTAGTGATGAAACACGGTAACTCCTCTTCCCACAAGACGGGGGACAGACCATGACAGGCACGCAGACCAGGGGCTGACTGCGCAGGGCACAGGTCCTCTTGGCTTGGCTTCACCGGCAGGGAAGTACAGGCAGACCCAGCTGGCAGTGCCCTGTTCTCCCAGCTGCCCAAGCTGGTGGATTCTCGGTTATATCTGGAGGCTCCTCATGGAATCTCTCCGCTGCCCTGTGGAATCTTGTCACTCCTCTCACGGCTTCATCAGAGCCTTCTGCCCAAAATCAGCTGAGGCGTCCTGAGCGTCACCACCCCTGCAGTGCCCCCTGGCGAGGGTATGGGTGATGGTGCCAAGGGCTCGGCCTGCCAGTGTTTGAGGCCTTGGGATGGTGCTGAATTCTGCACCATGTGGGGTGCACACTGCCTTCCCCTATTCTTCAAGGACATAGTCCCTCAAGCAGGGTGCCTGTTCCTTGAGTCTCTGAGTCCCTGGACCAGGGAGTTGTCCTTGGCCATCCCTTTTCTGCAGGGCCATGGGAAGAACAGGCTGTGTGAGCCTTGGGTTCCCCATTTCTGGAACCCAAACTTGCAGACCCTGATCCGTGCAAAAGGCAAGGGTGGGGCAGTCTCACCCAGACACCCACCCAAACCACCCCAGTCTTCAGTCAAAAACCAATGCCCTCCTCAGTAGCCAAAAGGTGGAAGCAACCCAAGCACCTTTTGGCAGAGGAATGGATAGACAGAAGGCAGCATGCCCAATCTTTTCAGCCTTAAAAATCTATTCAGCCTTAAAAAGGAAGGGAATTCTGATGCCTGCTTAGTAAGATGAGCCACCAAATGACAAATACTGTATGATTCCATTTATAGGTGGTACCTATCTAATTCATAGACAGAAGATGGTATGGTGGCTGCCAGCGGCTGGGGGCAGGGAGAACGGGGGACTTGTTTAATGGGAACAGAGCTTCAGTTTTGCACATGAAAAGAGTTCTGGAGATGGTTGCACAACAATGTGAACATACTGAGCTTTACAGTTGAAGGGATTAACATGACAAATCTTATCTTATGTATATTTGCCCCAACTAAAGAAAGACAAAAGCAGAAAGCAGCCATCCTACCGCACTTCTACCCCCTGGGCAGGACTGAAGTGCCAGCACTCTTGAGGGAACCGTCCCAGCTCCTGCCTTCTACTGGGGTCTTCTCAGGCCATGGGCACTCACGTGGATGCCATGGGCTTGTACCCGGATTCCTGGGAGGGATGAGAATGAGGACTACAAAGATGCCAGGTGGAGGGCTGAGGAGGGGTGGGCGCCATGGTCAGGTGGGGAGTCGGGGGAGGGCCTCACTACACATCCCCATGCTGTGCACCTCATTCAGCCATGGGTGGAGCCAGGCGGCAGCAGGCGCTGACCCTCTTCCCCACCTGCCTTGCCCTCGCCTTCTCCCTCCCACTGTGGGCAGCCACAGGTGTGAGGGGATCCGGAGGGTGGCACAGCCGCTGTACCAGGACCATCTCGAGGGGCTGCATGGCATCCAGCTCAGCAGGGATGGTGGTGGTAGCAGGAGGGACAACGGGAGCCAGGCTGTCCAGGTCATCCGGGAGATGGGGGATGACAAGCTCATCCAGCGCAGGTTCCTCGTGGGGCTCAGTCCTGCCAAGAGAGCCTCAGCTGTGCAGGTGAGCACAGCCCTCAGGTTTGGGGGGTGACAGGTGCAGGACAGGGGCCACGAGCAGGACCTGTGGAGTCAGCCTGCCTGGGTTTGCATCCCAGCTCTGCCCCTGATGGCCTGTGTACCCTTGAGCAAGTCTCCTTGCCTTTCTGGCCTCAGTTGTCTCACTTATAAAATAGGATCTCTAGCAGCACTCATCTCCTGGAGTTACTATACAGATTAAAATGGCTGGGTTCTCATAAGGCACTTGTAACAGTGTGTGATGCAGTGTTTACAGACATTAGCTTTCACCATTTGCTAGTGCCATCCCATCCCTGGAGAACCCAAAGTGGCTCCACCCCACTCTAAACCACAACGCTGCACTGTTAAGGGGTCTTGGAACGAAAGATTCTCTTAGAGAACAGACTTTTATCATCCTAATAAGGAGATTCCCATTCTCACTATATTGCTCAGTCCTGGTTCAACAGCATCTTCAGAACTCTTGTGGATTTGGCAGAGTGGTGAGTGAAATGAGAGAGAAGAGGGAAGGGAAGGCCTAATATTTGGAACACACGTGTCAGAAAAGAGTGTTTTGACCTCCAAGGGAACTGAGAAGGGAAGAACTGGACTCCTTAGCGTTAGGCAGCCTGGCTGCAAACCTGAACCCAGACTCGGAGCCAGGACGTTCTCCCCTTCCTGCTGGGAAAGCTCAGCCCTCCAGGTGGAAAGGAGAGCGCCCCCTTCCCAGCCCCGTTTCTCTCCTGACTTCAGGCTTAGTTTCTTGTACAGCTTTTTTTTTCCTGTTCTCCTAGCATTCATTGTGTATTCCTGAGGTCTAAGTAAAAGGCAGGAGGACGGAATCCTCTGAGGTGCTGCCTGTCCCTCTGCATCCTGCCCCAGTGGTGGCCGTGAAAGGGCAGTGCCTAGCCTTACCCTCCCATGTGTCCAGATCATGCCCAGGGCCTTTGCACCAGAACACAAGGCAGAGGAGAAGAAGGAAGCCTTGTGGAGGGCTGGAAATGAGATCATGGGGTATGAGATCAGCCGGAAGTGACAACACCAAAAGTGACATCATTGTGGGCAGCTCACAGGAAGTGAGCCTGTGTATATAAGCAGTGCTCTGAAATAAAACTGCGTCACTTGTCCACCACCAGTGGTCAGTGAACTTTCTGACCCCTGCTTTGGTTTCTGTGTCTTTCTTGCTATCTCTGTGTTTTCTTAATCTCCCCACCCACTCCTCTCAGGCTCAGCTGGTTTGGGGAGCTGGTCTCTGCAGGTGGCGCCCGAACTGGGACCTAAGAACGGAGTGACGGGGACCTGAAGAATATCAGGTTCCACAGAGCTCGACTCTGCAGGCGGCCAGCGAGTTAGGTGAGGAGACTCCCTGAGGGGCAGACGTGTCAAAACACAAGGTACGGCAATAACAGTTCGGAGGGAGGTTCGGGAGCAATAGAGTCAGGAGTAAAACTTGGGACAATCAGGGTCAAAGGACTGTCCAGGTCAGAGGGCTGTAAAATTTTGTTTATATGCTTAAAGGTATAAACATGGGACAGTGTGGGTCAAAGGACCGAGAAATTTTTGTACATATGCTTAAAGCTATGCTTCGTGCTCGCGGTAGTAGAGTGCGCAGCCGGCAGCTAGAAGCTTTTCTTGCCTTTGTGCAGGAAACCTGCCCCTGGTTCCCTGAAGAGGGAACCATAAATGAGCAGATTTGGCAAAAAGTGGGGTTACAGCTTAAACAGCGCTTCACCCTTCATGGGCCTCGGGACTTTCCTGTGGAAACATTTGCTTTATGGAATTTAGTGAAGGAAAGTTTGGATCCATCCCCTGAGGTTACCTGTTTGCCTGACAGACTTCCAGAGGGAGGCTCTATAGTTGAGCAATTGAAACAACCATTCACCCGTTATGAGGCTTTGGCTAATGCCACAGCATCCGTGGACTGTGAGCCGTTATCTCCCAAGTATGAACTAGACAATGAGCTACCACCACCACCTCCTGAATATGACCAAAAGTTGTTAACAGAGGTTCAGCAGTGTGAGGAGGAGCTCCCTGGGAATTGGCAACATGGCGTCCAATATGGTGATGATGGCGTCCAATGTGGCGGCCAGGAAGACTTATATTGTGAGCAGGAAGAGTTTGACTCCTCAGAGTCTGAGATGGAAGGAGAGGGCCACACAAAATCCTCTAACACCTTAACATCTCCTTCCAACACTGAATCTGTTTTGACTGCTTTTCAAAAACTAAAAGTGTCTTCCCCTAAAATCCTGCAATCACCGCTCTGCCCTAATCAGCCTTGGAGCCGTAAATTGCAAGCAGGGAACCCCTCCGCACCTCCATGCCCTCCTAGTCATCAGTCTAACCGGGAACATTCCATTCCTGTTATCATCAGAGCGACTCCTGGTCCCGCTAGTGGCTCAGCTTTGCAGCATAGCATCCAAGAAGCCCAGAGGCGGGGTGAGGACACATCTGAATTCCACTCCCTCTGTCGGGAGGGAGATGGAAATGTCAGAGATTATAATCCTATCCCTTTCAAAACTTTGAAGGAGCTCAAGCAATCCTGCTCTCAATATGGCCCAACTGCTCCTTTTACCCTCACTCTCTTGGAAGTGATATCCACTGAAGCTCTGATTCCTAATGAGTGGCGAATGCTTGCTAAGGCATGTCTCACTGGAGGTGATTATTTGTTATGGAAGAGTGAATTTGTAGACTTGTGTGTACAACAGGCCAACAGAAATCAAATGCATAACATTCCCATCAGTCTGGATATGCTCACTGGAGAAGGGCAGTATTCTGCCTTGATGGATCAGCTTCAGTTCCCTTTACAGGCTTATCAGCAAATTAACATTTGTGGAAGCAAGGCTTGGAGGAGCCTGCCCACCGCAGGGGCTACAACTGAGGAGCTGAGCAGCATTCGGCAAGGCCCAGACGAGCCATTTCAGGAATTTGTGTCTCGCTTACTGCAGGCCATATCCAGAGTATTTTCTGATTCTGAGGCTGGAAATGTTCTTGCTAGACAGCTAGCCTATGAAAATGCCAACAGTACATGTCAGGATCTAATTCGGCCTTATAGAAAAAAAGGAACTCTTTCAGACTTTATCAAACTTTGTGCAGACGTGGGAACTTCTTACATACAGGGTGCAGCATTGGCCACCAAATTACGTAAAACATTTGGCCCAACAAAGTGGCCCCGCCCCCAATTAGGAATAAGACCTCATCTTAAAGGTAGATGTTTTCACTGTGGACTATTAGGCCATTTTGCTCGAGAGTGCCCTTATCCTAAAGACCTTCTGAGGGAAAAGCCAAATAGAACTCCTGGAATTTGCCCGCGATGCTGCCGAGGCAGGCATTGGGCTAATGAATGTAAGTCACAAACTGATATTCAAGGTCTACGATTGTCGGGAAACTCCCAGCGGGGCCCGCCCCGGCCCCAACAAATAATGGGGGCCCTGTCCATGACTCCTTCAAGTATCCTTCCTCACGCAAAACAGTCCAACAGCTTTGTCGAGCAACCCCAGGAAGCACAGGATTGGACCTCAGTCCCTCCTCCAGATTCATACTAACTCCTGATATAGGACCTCAAGCTATTCCCACCGGGGTGTATGGTCCTTTACCTCCTGGTACAGTAGGCCTTATCTTAGGCAGGAGTAGCTGGAATTTAAAAGGACTGCAAGTGCAGCCTGGAGTCATAGACTCCAAATACATGGGTGAAATTAAAGTTATATGTTGTTCACCTTTCAGAATTATTCAAATGTTATCCTCTGATCGTGTAGCTCAACTTGTTGTGTTGCCTTTTATACAAACTGGCTGGAGTCAGTCTTCTCAGATGAGAGGGAACCACGGCTTTGGTTCCTCAGATGCCTTTTGGATCCAACGAGTAGGACTTGAACGACCTACTTTAACTCTTCGGATTGATGGGAAATGTTTTGAAGGCCTCGTGGATACTGGAGCCGATGTGTCTGTCATTTCATTACGGCAGTGGCCCACCACTTGGCCCACCCGAGAGGCTATGGCTGATTTGCAAGGTATTGGTGTGGCACAGGGTCCTCTACAAAGTTCTCGGGCTTTAACCTGGTCAGACAAGGAGGGACATACGGGTACTTTCCAACCCTTCATCCTTGACCATCTTCCTATTAATCTATGGGGACGGGATGTTTTAGCTCAAATGTCACTTTTACTCTACAGCCCTAGACCTCAAGTTGCTCAGATGATGCTGAATCAAGGGCATGTACCTGGAACTGGTCTGGGAAGTGAGGGCCAAGGTAGGCCATTCCCAATTTCCCCTCAGCCTCACCAAGATCGGTCTGGCCTAGGGTACCATCCAAATTTGCCCTAGGGGCCTTGGTATCTCCTGCCTCCCTAACATTGACAGCCTCTAAAATACAATGGTTAACTGACAAGCCCCTCTCGGTGGACCAACGGCCCCTGACTCAGGAGAAACTGCAAATTGCTAGTGTCCGAACAATTGAAAGCTGGACATATTGAGGAGTCTTTTAGTCCTTGGAACACTCCCGTCTTTGTGATAAAAAAGAAACAGCTGGTCACTGGAGGCTCCTACAGGACTCCGGCAAAAGTAATGCTGTCATGGTTACAATGGGAGCAGCCCAACCGGGACTGCCCTCCTCCACCATGATCCCTTGGAAACACTCCCTCATTGTTAGTGACTTGAAAGATTGTTTCTTCTCTATCCTTTTAATCCAGAGGATAGGGAACGCTTTGCTTTGAGCTTGCCCTCGATTAACTTTAAAGAACCCATGAAGAGATACCCCTGGAAAGTCCCTCCTCAAGGAATGGCTAACAACCCCACCTTGTGTCAAACATTTGTGGCACAAGCCACTTGAGTGTTATGTGACGAATATCTGGAAGCATAATTATCCATTATATGGTGACATTCTCTGCTCCCATGCTGACCCCCAGTTTTGTCTCAGCTTTATGGACTGCTTCAAATACAATTGGATGCCCATAGACTACATATTGCTCCCGAAAAGGTGCAGATGCAAGCTCCATTCTTCTATTTGGGAACTCATATTTTATGAAGGATCATTCAGCCACAAAAAGTAGAAATAAGAACTAAGCACTTACATACCCTGAACAATTTCCAAAAATTACTTGGAGACACTAATTGGTTACAACCTTTTCTAAAACTTACCACAGGACAGTTACAACCTCTTTTCCAGATCATTCAAGACGATGCCAACCCTTCCTCCTCCAGACATTTGACACCCGATGCCATGCTGCATTTAAAAGCATCTGTGTTACCAATGCACCTTATACCAGTTCCCGATGGGAATGGCACAAAATTCGCAGCCATCTCCTAGGGGCAAGGCAACATACAAATCTTAGCCTTGATCTGCATAACCTACATCAAGAGATATTAGACATCCAAAATACCCGAGTGGATATGATAGATCCTCGAGATCTAGCAAAACAAGTCCTGGAACATCTTAAAGGATTTAACCTGTTCAATATGCTGAAACATACCCTCTCATACTTGATTGTTTTGGTGTTTGTGATAATTGTTTTGTTTTACTTATTATTAGTTGGCTGGCAAGTCCTTAAGAAAAAAATCCACGCAGACAGATTGAATCTACATCAACTATGGCTTCAATTAAAGAAAGAGGGGAGAGAACTCCCTCCACCAGATTTATTTCTGTAACCTTTCTTCTTCCTTCCTAAACACAGACCTTTCTAGAATTCCCACACACGCCTTATGTCAAAAACCCTCTTTGAGGTAAAATCTGGGTACCCCAAGACATGTGACCAGAGCTGCGGCTCCACCTGCAGGCGAGGACACACTGAGGCAGGTGCTGGGCATGGAGGCCATGGGGGCATAAACAACCGAGGAGACAGAGGACTGACCCTCTTGAAGGACGCTGCTCCTCTCTCACTGACATGCCTCGCATCACCCTGCTTGGCCCCGGAGGATGGCTGGTTAGCCAGAGACGGGTAAGATTCCTCAAGGGAGGAACAACCTAAGACAGGCACAGTCACAGAGGGGCCATCAGGAGTGAACTTGGGGGCCAACAGAGGTGGGGCTCAGATCCTCACCCCCCCAGCCTTGCAGAGGCCCAAACCAACACCATCTCTGAGAGAAGTCTTCTGTCCCCATGGCTGCTTTGCTGCCCATGCTCAGCTCAGATCGAGACCCAGGTGGTCGACAGAGACCTGACCAACAGCAGCTGTAGGGAAGGGCTGTGTTGGGACACCTATTTGCTGTACTCCTTATTATATCTCTCTTTACCACTGAAGCTTTTTAATAAAGAAAAAAGGGGGAAATGTGGAGGGCCGGAAATGAAGTCACCGGGTGCGAGGTCAGCTGGAAGTGACAACACCGAAAGTGACATCACTGTGGGATAGGTCACAGGAAATGAGCCTGTGTATATAAGCAGTGCTCTGAAATAAAACTGCGTCACTTGTCCATCACCAGTGGTCAGTGAACCTCCTGATCCCAACTTTGGTTTCTGTGTCTTTCTTGCTATCTCTGTGTTTTCTTAATCTCCCCACCCACTCCTCTCAGGCTCAGGTGGTTTGTGGAGCTGGTCTCCACAAAGTCTCTTTACAGAAGAAGTAACTCCCATGGCTCTTCAGTGGCACCTGAGGTATCTTCTCCTGCAACACAAGGCCACAGTCACTCTAGGATAAGGTACCGAGCAAGACAGTGTTCCCTAGAAAGGAAAAGCCTAATTGGAGAAAATCAGAAGCATTACTGTTTGTAACGTCAGGGGAGGTGGGGCCATAGCAGAACCTGAAGTTGAGGACAAGAGTCAGAAAATGAGACATGGCTCTCCGGTGACCAGGGTTCTCCATGGGCTGGGCTTGAGGAGAAGGTGGGACTGGACACCTCACTTCCAGATGATGCCAAAGCTGGGAGCTTCAGGGAGGCCCGGAAACAGCTGCAAACTGCCTGCCTGCATGTGCCAGTGCCTCCCATATTCACACAAACACTGTGCAGATGGGTGACATGAACTGTCCCCAAGATTTCTGATGAAAATTGTTACCCAGGTGGGATGAAGGGGGTCCTTTTCACCCTAAAAAAGACAGGGCCCAAAAGCACAGTGAAGTCCATCTAAGGCTCCTTCAGGCTCCTTCCTCTAGAGAGCAGCAGTCTCCTTGGTACTTTTGCAACAAACCATGGGGTGCTTACACACACACACACATACACACACATCACCTTCTCAAGGATCACACCATTGACAGGTTTTTTTATATATTATCAGGACCCATGCTGAAGCCTAAGGAGGGTTGATGCTCTCAATGATTTGTGGACAAAGCCAGGGGGAAATAGTGTGTTTCTTGACCCTTTTCTGATTTATGTGCCTCTTATATACTTAATGTTAAGCCAGAAACAGACTTTAGCAAGTGCCTCACTGGGTTTTCTCAAAGATTACCCCACAGAGGTATCTTCTGAGATGCTCTTCGCAAAATTAAATAAAAAGAGTTTTGATAGTCAAATTTGGAAAATGTTGCATATTACATTTTCTTCTTGGAAATTCACAATGCACATTAGCATATCAAAATCTCTGAGACTGTTATAGATAAAGGAACCTGTTCACCATTACATTTCCCAGAGTTTCCGAAGATTAGCTGGCCATAGGGAAAAAATGTCTGGAATAAGGATTAATATTCTGTGAAACTAGAGTTGGGTGGAACACTCTTTGGAAAAGGCTGATCTAGAACAATAGACACATTTTACAGAGGGAAAAACTGAGTTCTAGAGGAAGAAATGCCCAACTGAAGATTGTAGAGCTAGATACTGATGGGGCTGGATGTGAAACTCAAATTTCTTAACTCTTAACCAGACTCTCCCTATGACCCCACAGTGCCCAAAACTGAACTGAAGGGCAATCATCTTCCCATTGTCAATGAATACGTTTGTGTCCATCAATTTAAAGAAACCTCTGCTCACATTTTCATGCATTTTCTAATATAAAAGGTCATCCAGGTAAACCAGGGTCTTTAAGCATTGTTATCACTTTATTAAGAAGGAGGAAAGGAGGGCACCTTCTCCAGAGCACCTTTTTTCCCCAGAGAAACATCACCTTCATGGGCTGCAAGATGCTTCTAAAGCAAAAAGTTTAGAAATAAATTGTTTCTAAATAATAGCTAAAATAATAGCCAACATGTAAGAGAATAAAACAACAGATGAACAGCAGAGGTTGTCCACAAATGCTTACCAGAGCTGGTAACAAAGGCAGGGAAGCAGGGCTAGCAGAGGATGCCAATGACCTTGAAACCCCAGGCTCAGGTGAAGGGGGCAGCCTTCTACTCAGCTCAGCTTTACGGTCACGTGGGCTTCTGAGCTCAATGTGGTCAGATGCTCTAATTTTTGAGGGAAGGAAGATATCTGAATTTCCAAGTGAAATTTCCCAATGTTAAAATATCTTGAAAACATTGCCTAGGCCCAAGAAAGCCTGCTATGGCTGACAGTAGGCTGGGGACCCCGACTGGAGATGACTTCACACACGTCTGCTATTTAGTTTAATTTATCATGAGTGACTGAGAGACGGGGACATGAGAAAAAGCAGCTTTGCAACGGTGGGTGAATGGGAGAGGACCCAGACAATGCTTTAGAGAGGGTCTCAGGGGTGAGGGGGAGGTAAGGAGACCTGGCAGCAAGGACTCCAGCCTGGGGAGGACACTCCTTGCCTTGAGCAAGCCTAGGAAAGAGGCCTCCACGTGTCCAGCCTTCTGCAGCTCCATTATTCCCTGAGGCCTCGCTGGATATTTTCCCTCTGAATCAGCTCCGTATCTGTGATGGTAAAAGCTGACCCTCCAGGGGACCCCTGACCTCAAGTGTTATTTCAGGACATTGTCTGCACGAGCCACCTTGACTAGCTCTGTACTCGCTTCCTAATGCGTACAGTGCCATTGAGGGGAGACAGCACCTTGGATTCCACGCTCTGAAATGACAATTTGAAAGGACAATTCCTGGATAAGGCAGTGCTTAGACAAAATGCTTTTTCCTTTAGGTAGTTCAATCAGTCAATAAATGTGTCGATTTCTTATTCTAAGCTGTTCTGCTACGCCCAGGAAGCTCAAAGGTGGAGGGCACTGGGCACCCCAGGAGGGTGGAGAACAAGCAGGCGGGGGCTGCCAGAGTCCTGCACGGAGCCCTCGGACGCCCTTTCCCAGGCCGGCTCACTGCACCACTCGGCAGGAGCTTTCTACCACCTGCCTCCCTGGCTTTATAGGATTTATAAAGATTTTTCCTTTTAATCCTTCCGGCCGGCCTTATTCAAAAGGAGCACCATTTCCGAGGATTGATATTAATCAAGAGGTCACTGTGGCCTGGCTTATTTCACCCAAGCTAACCTCACCCTTCTAAGCTGTTGTGAATTCTCTTGCTCTCCTTGGCTAGCCTTCACTTTCTTTTCTCCCTGTCCTTGGCGCTGCACCTCGCCTTCTCTTTCTTCCTGCGGGAAAAGGCAGCCTCTTCAGAAGACAAGACAGGCCCTTAGTCCTCCGTGCATGAGATATGGAGGTGGTGATGTAGAAAAAGCTACTGGGTCTCAGGTGGGAAACCCCAGTTTCAATTCCTGACTGAACCTGGCCTCCGAATCCATAAAATGTGATTGTTTGTACCGCCTCTGTCACACACACACACACACACACACAAAAGCGTAAGGCAGTTCACAGCATACTTTCACACCTTTCTCATTGGAGAAATTTTTTTATTCCCATTCTACAGATGAAGAAAGCAAGGTGGCTCCGAGTGGTCAGGAAACTTCCTACGATTACTGACCGTGGCAGAACCAGGCCTTTCGGATTTAAATGCCCCGTTCTGTCCATGACATCCATCTGCTGCTCTCACTGCCGGCCTGACTCAGAGATTGTAGTGAGGATCTTAGGAGAAGATGTGAAAAATCAGCAGCTCTTTGAGGGGGCAGAGGGTGAGGGTGGAGATTTCTGGGTAAATGACCTCTTTCTACCTCTTTGGTAAAACTGGGGGAACTCAGACAAATTTTTGCTGATGTGACCATAATACTACTGTGGCTGCCAAATTAGAGTCAGTCAGGAAAAATGTCCAATTGCATCAACCCAGTGGGGACATCATAAAAAGGCTGAAGAGGCCACTACCACTAAAGACTAGCAGCCAGGTCTCTGAGTCTGTTGTCCTCCTCCAGGCAGCTTGTTGCCAACGGTCATGTGACAAATGAATCCCTGTGCACATTTGAGTCAGAACTTTAACCCAGCAGGGCGGCTCCACAAACAGCTGTATCATAAAACCAACCTTCGTTTCTCTTCTTCCTATAGCCTAGCAGAGGGGCAATGCAGAGATGAGAAGGAGTGAGGCCCCAGGGCACTTGGGTTGTATGAAGACAAGCATGGCAAATCATAAAGTTTGTGGCCTTTAGCCGTGTGCACCTGTTCATACGTATGGGCCTTCCCACATGACCTGGAGGAGGTAGAAGGTGAATGCTGGCATGTGCTATGGAAACAAAAGATGAGCTCTGTGCTGGGAGGTCAAGTTGACAAAGAGAGGGTGTAGAAGAGGAATTTAGTCTTGACGCTGTAGGAAGAGAGAACCATTGTTAAGTTCTTGAATAGGAATCCCACCTGGAATTTTTTCTCCTATAAAAGAAAAATTTTTTCTGAGGTCTAAAGATGCTACCCCAAGCTTACTTCTGTCCCTGAAAACTTCCAGAAAAGGTAGGTGACAAGATCCTTGACTTAGGGAACTTACAGTCTAGGAACAAATAATGATTTATGCTAATCGTATGCAGACCTAAGGCCCCAATAGAACTTGTTTTATTCCAACAAGATTTAAGTGAATGTTAAATATATAATCTAATTTTTTTATTTTGAAAAACATGTATTTTTTCCTATTTTTTAAATAGAAGTATAGTTGATAAACAATATTTTATTGGTTTCTGGTATACAATAGAGTGATTAAAAAATTATATACATCACCAAATGCTTTCCACGATCTATTATCTCACTTAATCTTCAAAGCAAAGCTAATGTGGGGACTACTGAGTTTCTTAGAAACAAGAAAGCCATTCCTTTGAAAGATCAAAGATCTATGTATGCCCCACCTTGCTCTGTTTTAGTTCCTACCAGCCCAGACTGGGAGCTCACATCCCATGCATCTTTGCATCCCCTGCACTCTCTCTATGGCCGCTGGATTGCTTCATGTCAGTGATGACAGGAGACAGCATTGGGAAGCTCCCTGTGCACTTGAGTCCTAACGCTGACACCGCCTCTACCTGTTGGCTCGTACCAGTCATCTACCTGCAGAGGTCTTTGGAGCCACACCTCTACACTGCTCAGGGAAGAAGCAGGTGATTTCCAGGCTCCTCCCACTCTACGGTCTATAATTCTATCTGGAGCTGAAGTGGTAATGGAGAGTGGGGCACCCACCTGGGACAGGACCCCTGAGGGTGAATTGCTGTAGTTCCAGTCTTCCGTCTGTCACCCCCAAACCAAAGTTTGGTTGCATTATACATCAAGTGGATACTTGTGGACTCAGCTCTTTCATGGGAACTACTAACCTAGGTAGTGACACATGCTTTCCCAGCCCATGTGTGCAACATGACAGATGGTATTCACAGGTGAGGCATGGAATCAGCCTGGCGGTGGGGCCTGCCGCTAGGGGCACACACACTAACTCCTCTGTTCCCTTTCATACTCCAGAAAGCAGGATGGAATGCAAGTAGCTGGATCACTTCATAACAGAGATACTAAGTGCTGCTCTAATTCATTTGAAAAAACTTTTCACAAACTTTGTTGCTTTCCCTCTAACCAGAAACTAGTTATTTGAGACTCGTATCATGATGAATGCTCTTTGGGAAGTTGAGAACCACTCATCTAAGGTTTGCACTATCAGTCTGGATGGGCTGGTTTATGCTGCAATAACAAACCCCCAAATCCCAGTGGTTTAAATTGACAAATTCATTTCTAGCTCATTCTACATGTACTTTTTAAATGGCTTCTCCCTGTAGCCATTTAAGGACCCAGGCTGTTGGAGGCTCCCTCCAGACATGTGCTTCTTTGATCACAGGGCAAGGGTGTGAGTACTGGGTGGACAATACACTGGTTCCTAAAGCTTCTGACCGAAGTGACCCACCTCACTTTAGCTCCCAGTTCATTGGCCAAAGAAAGTCATATGGCCAAGCCTGGATTCACTAGGGCAGAACCGAGTCATGTTCCTGCAGGTGGCACCACATGTCTGTGCACAATAAAAGTCTGTCACACCCACCAATCTTTAAAAAATGACCCTGGATAGACTTACATGGCTAGAAACACAATTTACCCCTAATTGTTAAGGTTATTTCTATTTATGAATATATTCTCTTTATCTCCTAGGTGAAAAGTGTAGGAGTTTTCAGAGTATAATACCAGCTGAAGGACGAGGTAAATACCTTATTCATGTACTATACACCAGTCCGCCTCACAGTTTGGGTTACTTGTTTTCATTGGAGTGGGGGGAAAGATGAGAGAGAGTTATTTATGGTTTTTCCATGAAGTCAAGTCCAAAATTTAGAACCACTGACTCACTACCTGTGCCCTCTGGTCAGTGGTGCTGGAAAATGTTAAACAACCATTTAATATTTGGTGGTGGTGGTGGTGGGGTGGGGTGGGGAGGACCTGATGGGTAGTGTTCACTGTTTTTCATGGTGTAAATACTCCCACCACAGCCAATTTTAAACACCCATGTGAGGTGAATGGGAAGAGATGGATGGGCACCACAATCTACAGGACTTTTCCTTCTCTATAACACTCATCAAATTTATAACTGCTGTCTTTGTATCTGTTTTCCTAAGTCGAATATAAGTTTTGTTAAGGCATGGATCACATCTGTTTCATTTCACTGCTGCATCCTCAGAACCTAACTGGCCTTGTAGGAGGCCTTTTACAAATATTAGTTTCCATTCCTGTCCTCTTTATTCATTCCCATCTACATCCAACACAGTTCCCTGAAGCTGCAGGTGAGATCCCGTCCAGAGGGTAAACAATTGGCTCACACAGAAACAAGGTTTTGGTGTCTCCAACCAGGGCTCTTAAACTCTTGGACTCCTTTCTCTCCCTGTTTAAGCTTGTGCATCTTCTTCTTTAAAAAAATAAAGATAATGTCTTCTGGTGGAATCAAAACAACACATTAATTTTGAATGGGGGAAAAGAGACCCTTCATATCTCTCATGTCCTCACATCACAGTTTTGCTTAGTTTTTCCCCCTCCCAACTACAAACTCCTTTTTCAAGATCTGGGAAGCCTTCTTTCCTTACCAGATTTCCAAGATGCAACAGAGGTATCAGGGTTTTTTTCATTCATAGTGTTTATTTTTTGTTTTAAACGAACTAAAGCAAAGGTTTGAATATTGTAGTACTTCTGAATTCTAAATGCCCAGCATCTGTGTCATCCTACGTTTTGCCGGTGTCTTATGGCTGTCCATTGGGGCTGAGATCCTGAATATCCTTCTGATGTTGTCAAGGGCCATCCTTCTGGACTCTGGAGTGAATTACCATAGCTCTGGGTTCCACTGGCTCAAGGTGGATGCCTATGTAGCTACCCTCAGTTGCAGGTACTTCCCAACAGCATCATTAGATCTGGCAACTTCCCCACAGCCTGCCCCAGAGGGACTGAAAAAGCATCAGGCTAGGCATCCCTACTGCCAAAGCACAGGCTGGCTCTTTCAGCAGGACAGCTGGTCCACTGGAGAAGTCACTGAATTAATCCCATTGGAGGGAGGCCATGACACTTTGGGTGATTGATGAAAAGAAAAGAGACAGACACAGGGGATGGAGAATAAAATTTATTCTTGTGTCTTTAACACAACCCTGGGAAGGAGATAGCACTGACTCTGAGATCAAAAATTGACTAATTTAGTACAGTGGTGAGGCACAAATCTGTAGAGAAATTCTGCCTGTATCCACATATTTGCTTTTTAATGGTTGTGTGACCTTGGACAAGTTACTTGACTTTTCTAAGCTAGCTATCTTCAAAAGCTATGGTGATGCATGTAAGAACTTGTTCATTATGCTTCAGAAGATTGGAAACTGTTGAGAATTAGGCTTGGGGTTGATTAATGATTGTGCATTGAGTCCCCTATACAGAATTTTATTGTTGTTAACAACCATTTGATCAATAAATATGAGAGATGCCCTCTCAAAAAAAAAAAGCTATGGTGATGATTAAATAAGAATACACCTAGTATATAGTAAGCATGCAATAAGTGAGAGCTTGTTAAAAATCATTATCCAAGTTTGGTGTAAATATCTCTTAAGAATAAAGAACTTTTCTTTTCTTTTTTTGGTCTTACTCCTGTGTTCTCCAAGCAACTTATAGAGCAACTTGGTTTGGTCTCCTAAGTGGGCCTTGCCATCAAGAAAAGGCTCCTGAACCTTCTTCATTTCTTTAGCTTGATACATAAAAATGTCTCTGTTAAGATAATAGTGCATCAATCCTATTGGTAGATCACTTCTGCACTTGATACGTGAAATGCATCTTTCTCAAGTATTATCATCAGTGAATAGGATGCTAAAATCCAATTTCTGGATCTTCACTGCAAAGAGCCAGACCATGGACTCTTAGAGACCCCTCCTCAGGCCCAGGTCCCAGCATCCTTCAAGGTCCCCCAAGATCATGAGTAGGCCTCTTTCAGGATATCTCTTCAATTCCACTTATGAGTAAGTTGCCAGCTGGAATGTTTAAGGATTTATAAGGACAGATACATCATAAGGACTTCAGACATCCTCATTAGTACATAAATAATTTCCCCCACCAATTAAAACTAATTTCTACTTGGATCACTAAAGCTGATCCCTAACTGGCCACTGCTTGCCATATATTTACTAAACTAAAACATACATGTAATTGGCGTCCTTGAAAAGGAAACACAAAACAAATGAAACATTTAATATTTAAAAGTGAAATTCAAGGAACCTTTCTTGAACAAAAGACCAGAATCCATATGTACAAACCTCCTTCCAAGTACCTGGAAACATTGACACAGAAACATTCAAATCCTAGACATATCCTATGAAAACCATTAAAGAAAATAAGTGCTCTGAGTCTCCAGGCAAAAAGACCGAGTCACTTACAAAGGGAAGAAAATTATATTGGCATCTGATTTCAGTTCCCCTTGATCACTGCCATGAGTCCAGTGTAGCCAGAACACACTCAGATTTTCATGTCAAGTCTTCCAATTTTTAGGTGTTAGCCAACAACCCACATTAAAAAGACTAACATGACAGAACACTATGGAGGATGGCTTCTGGCCAAATGTAGCTCAAGGACCCATCATTTGTGCTGGGAAAGAGAGGATGCAACATTGCTGCCTCTGAACATAGGGACACAAGGGCATGATAAAATGGAAGGGGCAAAATGGATCAAAGACCTGAATGTAAGTCATGAAACCATTAAACTCTTGGAAAAAAACATAGGCAAAAACCTCTTAGACATAAACATGACTGACCTCTTCTTGAACTTATGTCCCCGGGCAAGGAAAACAACAGCAAAAATGAGCAAGTGGGACTACATTAAGCTGAAAAGCTTCTGTACAGCGAAAGACACCATCAATAGAACAAAAAGGAACCCTACAGTATGGGAGAATATATTTGAAAATGACAGATCTGATAAAGGCTTGACGTCCAGAATATATAAAGAGCTCACACGCCTCAACAAACAAAAAACAAATAACCCAATTAAAAAATGGGCAGAGGAACTGAACAGACAGTTCTCCAAAAAAGAAATACAGATGGCCAAGAGACACATGAAAAGATGCTCCACATCGCTAATTATCAGAGAAATGCAAATTAAAACTACAATGAGGTATCACCTCACACCAGTAAGGATAGCTGCCATCCAAAAGACAAACAACAACAAATGTTGGCGAGGCTGTGGAGAAAGGGGAACCCTCCTACACTGCTGGTGGGAATGTAAATTAGTTCAACCATTGTGGAAAGCAGTATGGAGGTGCATCAAAATGCTCAAAACAGACCTACCATTTGACCCAGGAATTCCACTCCTAGGAATTTACCCTAAGAACGCAGCAATCAAGTTTGAGAAAGACAGATGCACTCCTATGTTTATCGCAGCACTATTTACAATAGCCAAGAATTGGAAGCAACCTAAATGTCCATCGGTAGATGAATGGATAAAGAAGATGTGGTACATATACACAATGGAATACTACTCAGCCATAAGAAGTGGAAAAATCCAACCATTTGCAGCAACATGGATGGAGCTGGAGAGTATTATGCTCAGTGAAATAAGCCAAGCGGAGAAAGAGAAATACCAAATGATTTCACTCATCTGAGGAGTATAGGAACAAAGGAAAAACTGAAGGAACAAAACAGCAGCAGAATTACAGAACCCAAAAATGGACTAACAGGTACCAAAGGGAAAGGAACTGGGGAGGATGGGTGGGCAGGGAGGGATAAGGGGGGGGAAGAAGAAGGGGGGTATTAAGATTAGCATGCATGGGGGGGAGGGAGAAAGGGGAGGGTGGGCTGCACAACACAGAGAGGACAAGTAGTGACTCTACAACATTTTGCTAAGCTGATGGACAGTAACCGTAATGTGGTTGTTAGGGGGGACCTGATATAGGGGAGAGCATAGTAAACATAGTATTCTTCAGGTAAGTGTAGATTAAAAATTAAAAAAAAAAAAGAAAGAAAGAAAGAAAAGGGGGATTACTCCTTAACAGGATAAAACTATTGGTAAATCAAAGATCAACGCATGCTTTAAATATCCTTAATGTTGATCACTTAAAGGGTGTCAGATGATCAGCTATGGAGGTACTCTTTTCTGATAATATTCCTTTCTCTTAATTAAAAAAAAAAAAAAAAAGCAGTTACTGTGTGCTGACCTCCAATGAGTTCTGCACAGTGGTATAGAGGGCATGTCAAAGTGTGGGCAAAGGGTCTGTTTGTTTCTACGCAGAAGATCAAGGCCTAGCTTGGATACCCAGAAAATGAACTAAGATACGATATGAGGAGGAGCTTCCGGCATCAGCACTCTCTGGAGGACTTGTGCCGGGGGATGATCATCAAAAAGCCTCCACAGGGATCCGGACGATGCTGCGGTTGTGGCTGCATCCAGCCCACCGTCTCCTGGACTTGCCATAAGAATGAGGAGGGAGATGTCTAGGCTGGCATGTGCATACAGTGAGACAACGAATTTGACCGGATCTGTACTGTTGGAACTCAACCAGGAGTTGGGAGGGGTGCAAGTTGTAGCACTCCAAAATCTCATGACTATAGACTATCTATGGTTAAAAGAACATATGGGATGTGAACAGATCCCAGAAATGGGCTGCTTTAATTTGTCTGATGGTTCAAGTACAGTTGGACAATATCCATCATATCATAGATAAATTTTCACAAATGCCTAGGGTGCCTAAATGGTTTTCTTGGCTTCACTGGAGATGGATGGTAATTATAGATTTGCTTTGTTTATGTCACCGTATTCCTATTATGTTAATATGTGTGTGCAAATTAGTTAGTAGTTTAAAACCTATACATACTTAAGGTACTATACAAGAAGATATGTCAAAGAAATAATCAATCCTCCCAAGTTTCCTTCATATGCTACATCTATAGCTTTTCTTCTTCCTTCCTAATTACAACCCTTAAATAGAATTCGTGCCTCATATCGAATTTACCGAGTATCATAATTCCTCCAGGTGGTAAAGATACCTCGAGACAAGTGCTGGGCATAGAAGCCACAGGGCATAAATCTGCAAAGAAGTAAAAAGCTAACCTTTGCAAACAATATGGCTTCTCTCTCACTTACCAACTTTACATTTCCCTGTATGGCCCCGGAAGATGACTGGTTAGCCAGAGACGGGTAAGATTCCTCAAGGGAGGAACAACCTAAGACAGGCACAGTCGCAGGGGGGCCATCAGGTGAGAAATTGGGGATCAACAGAGGTGAGGCTCAGAACCTCACCCCCCCTGCTTTGAGAGAAATCTTCTGCATCCGTGGATGTTTTATTGCCCTTGTCTAGCTTGGATTAACACATAGTCTGCAGGCACACACCTGATCATCTACATTTGCTCTCTTACAGCACTAAACTATGTTTTCTACCTTTATCTTGTATCTACCTACCACTTCAGCATTTTATTAAAAATAATAATAATAAAGAGAGAAATGTGGTATCCACATATAAATCAAGTATAAAAATCAAATGAATATTCATATTTGAACTGACTGTTTATAGTTCATAATGCATGAGCAAAACCGAAAGCTTCTGTGATGACTGCCCTTGTAATGTTCACCATGTAACTTATTCACTATGTAAGAATTTGTACTCCATGTAAGAACTTGTTCTTTATGCTTCAGAAGATTGGAGACTGACGAAAATTAGGCTTGGGGTGGATTAAGGATTGTGCATTGAGCATTGACCCCCCTATACAGAATTTTATTGTTGTTAACAACCATTTGATCAATAAATATGAGAGATGCCCTCACACACACACAAATATATATATATATATATACACACTTCCAATTGTAAAATAAATAAGTAACTGGGATGTAATGTATAGCATAAGGAATATAGTCAAAATATAGTAACAACTTGGTATGGTGATAACTGGTACCTAGAATTATCATGTATATAAATGTTCAATTACTGTGTTGTACACCTGGAACTAATGTAATACTGTGTGTCAACTACCCTTCAATAAAAAATAATTATCTAAAAAAAAAAATGGAAGGGGGTTGTGGGAGGAATGATATGGCAAAAGGACACATACCACTGTGTGGATTCATGGCTCTAAGAAATTAGCAATTATGTGAAACATGAAGGCTTCTTGGGAAGGCTTAAGGAGGATGCCATTGGGCTCCTTGCTAGGTAGAAAGAAACTGTATTTCTAGCTGCAGCTCACAAGGCTTACTTGTGCAGGGCTCCTAGGCATGGTGGCCCACATGATGTACACAACCATTTTTAAAATCACTATGAATCTTGGACCAGAAGATTGGAGGCCTCAGACATGGAACTATGACTGGTCATACCGCTGAGTCACTGGCAGTGGTGCTCAGCCTCTGACGGACCAGCAGGGATGCACACAGCTTTTCTAGGACTACCAACCTTGGTCATAGCTCTGTTACCTGCTAATCTTGTGACTTTGGATTAATTTCTTAACCTTTCTGTAGCCTGACTTCTTCATCTGTCAAGTGATGATACCTTTCTCAAATATTTTTATGGGCACTCAAAGAGATTATGTTTATGAAATTCTTGGCACAGAGTAAAGTCCTCAAGAAAGGGATATAATGATATTGTCACATTCTTATACATAGCTTGGAGGGAAAAAGTTTTAACTGAGTTATAACTCATAATACATACTTCAATGATGGGAGATCCAGCCCATGTCTAATGGAAAAACAAGGCCTTGATATAGAAGTTCAGTCTCTAAGAGAATGACTAAGCCATGTTATACAAGAACACAGGGTTCTCTCTGATACATACCTGCAAATCATAATCGCATCTTTAAAAATATATGTATACACATATGTATATGTACACATATATATAGACCAAGTGTGTATGGATGTACATACACACACATACACACTTATACTCACATATTCACTCTGTATAACAATCTCTTATGTTACTTTCTTCTTTGTAAAATAAATAACACATTCATGGCTCACTTCCCCATCCCACTATCCTAGAGTTTGGTGAACATGTCTGTGATAGTGTTATCCACAAGCTTCATGATTTATTGCATTTTGACCTCTTCTTAGTTTTTGTCTTCCCAGTCTGAAGAAGTTACACATTTGGTATACAAATACTTCTTTAACAAATGCTTTGACCCATTTGTCACTTCAGTTGCCTCCCTCTGAATAGGTGCCATTGGTTCTGAGATGATGTCACCAGCACTACACACACCAAAGCCTTCCCTCTTCCTGCTCCACTTGGGCTGATTGCTCTCCAGGCCTGCCACAGAGCTGTCAATGTGACACTTCACTTTGCCACTCCCTTGTACTAAAGAGCTGTTTCCTAGGGCCCATGCCATTATTTTGCTTAGTTTACACTCACATTTTGTGGGGGCACATCCCCCAGTAGCTTTCTAAGGAAGGTTTCAATGACAGATAAATTATTTTATTCCTTGCATATCTGGAAATGTACTTGTTCAAAGCTCCATATTTGATTGATAGTTTGGCAGAGTATAGAAATCTGTCAAAAATAATTTTCCTTTAGCATTTTGAAGATGTGGCTCTGAGTCCTTCAAGAATTTATTGTTTCTGTCAAGAGCCCAATAGTATTCTAATTCATGCTCCACTGTAGGGGACCTGTTGTTTCTACTCTTTACTATCAATGTTCTGAAATGTCATGAAAACATACCTTGGATGGGGATCTTCATTCATTCACATTCATTCTTTTTTCTTGTGCTTGATGGGCCCTCCAATCTGAATATCCATGTCTTAGAATTCTGGTATCTTGGGGGATTTTTCTGGTATTATTTCTTTGATTATTTTTACTCCTCAGTTTTCTGTTCTTTTTTTAGAGAACACCTGTTAGTTAAATATTAGATCTCTTGTATTAATCATCTAGGTGTCATTGTGTCCATTATCTTTTCTATCTCTTTCTCATCTTGTAATACTTTCTCAAAATGTTCCTCTATTTGACTTCTAACCTTTCTATTGAATTCTTATTTTGTGTCTTATTTGAATATCCAAGAAGTCTTCTTGTTTTCTAGTTGTTCTTTCTTCATATATCCTGATTTGCTTCACTGATGCAATATCATCTCATATCTCTCTGAAGATATTAATCAAATCAAAATAAATAAAAATAAAAACAAATAAATAATCAAAAAAATTTTTTCTGTTGCTATTTTCTTCTGTTCCTGTGTTATCTCTTTCCTTTAGATTCCCTTTCTCCCCCCTCCCCCTCCCCACTGTTTGTTGTTGGGCCTTTCTCCTAGATGTTTGTATCCTTCATTGTCAGGTCATATTTAAGGATGATTGGAAACTCTGGAGTAGGGTTGGAACTTATCTACTAGTAGGCTTTTTTTATAGGTGACTGGATGTGGAACCATCTATTTTACCTGGGAATTTCACCCCATGAAAACATATCAAACTTCAGTTTTGTAGAGGTTCTTTTCTCCACAAACACTCTTCTGGGTTCTGTGGAAGATGAAAAGTGTAGACCATCATGTCAGAATGCAATAGGTAATGCAGAGACTGGGAATATAAAAATAACAATGCCTGATGCCAGTGTTCTGGGTTAGAGTCAACAACCACCACAATAACAGAAATAATACTTATAGGTGAGCAGATACAATGCTGAGTACTTCCCATACATTATCTCACTGAATTGCTCACAATACCCTGTGTGCATAGTCACTATTATTCCAGTTTTGCAGATGAGGAAACTGATACAGAGAGATGAAGTCACCAGCTTATGGTCACACAGGTAATAAGACATGCTCCAGTGTGAACTCAGCACAGAGTCTGTTCTCTTAACTATTGGGTTACAGCAGACTGACTGGTCTCTGAGATTTGTGATTCAAACTCCAGGCTCAAATCGACTAGAACCAGGAGTTGGTTTTTCACCAGACTGACCACCAGCAAGAATCAAGCCAGGAGTCATAGCTCTAACCTTTTCCTAACTGTGTCTTTTGTTAACAGCCTTCTGTAGGGTTCTTTTGCTCTCTGCATGACTGTGTCAGTCATTGCCATGGACAGATACACAGCAGCCCTCCTGGAATCCAAGAGAAGCAGAGGGTACAGAAGGGCAGTCAGCACTCTCACCACAACTTTCTGGAACCTGAGGCTTTGGAAAGTGTTTGGTGAACAGAAGCTGCATCCAGCCCTGCTGGGCATGCTCTCATGAGTGTATGTGAGCACCTGCCACCAGGTGTCAAGGTGTCCATATGCTAGCCAGTGCTTGTGGCTGCCATATCTGCACAGGCAGACAAGCCAGGCACAAATGTCCACAATGAACATTTCTGGGTGGGTTTCAGAAGATTGTGGTCCAGGACTGTGGAATGATTCCACCCACCAACTCACCCTTCCCTAAACACATTTGGCTTCAGTGTGATTCCTGTTAAAATGCCAGTATCTTTAAATGGAACTCTTATAGAAGATATCATACTGATACTCTAGTATAAATGAGCATCTCAAGCTTTCCTCAACGTGAATTTAATAAGGATAACAAAAAAAGGGTGGGAGGAGCATGTGAACAGTACAGGTAAGAATAGTTGAAGAAAGGGGAAAGCAAGAATTTAACTACAAAGTGTGTAAAATCTGTTGCCCATATAGGTTTGTTAACCAAAGTCCAGAAATTCTTTTCCTTAATCGACACACACAAACTGATATGTGGGTTGACTATCCTATACTTCCCTTTTTATTTTAATCAAGAGGACATAAATTTAAAAATCAGTTTTGTATTACTTTAAAAATATTTTTTCTTCAAAATTTCCTAACATCTACCTATAGTAAAATTATTTTGGAAGCATAATCATGTGATAAAACATGAGAACAGTCAAATGGAATGACATCTTATCATAGTTAAGTGGAACAAATGCTGGAGTTGTTGTGCTTAAATTAAATCACCAGGCATTTTTGCCTCTAAAAATAAACATTGCTAAATGTGAGAATCTGGTTAGAAGTGTGGTGTGCTGCATATTTCCTCATGATTGTTAGATACATAATTTAGGTTTAGGGGAAAAACCCTAATATGTCCCAGCTTGGATTCATTTTTAAGAAAATGTATTTATGTGATTAGCAAACACATCAATTCTGAAACAAACCTGAATGCTTCAAATAAGCTCACTTGATCTGCTTTTGCTGAACTGTAACATTTTGCTGTCACAGAATAAGGGAAAACCCAGCTAACTTTTGCATGTTTGGGGCTCTAATCAAATTCCTCTCTCTCTCTCAACAAACAAACAAACAAAAATACCAGATCTGTAAAGAGTGAATCTGAAAGTGCCAAGGAAGAAATGAATTTTGTGGAGCCACATGAGGAAACTGACATCATTGGCTGGCACAGGTGGTGCCCAGAGAAAGCAGTCGGTGATCAATTAGATGTTGGGGTAGGACCCAAGGTGATTGGTCCCTGAGGCTCAAGTCTAAACCTATTGTTTTCTACAGCCTCTGAGTTCCCAAGGCACTTTGCTTGCTTTAAAATATTTTAAATGCTGATTGTGTTAAAGTATAATATACATAGAGAAAAGTACACAAACCTTAAGTGTGCAGCTTAATGAATTTTCAGACAGCGAAAGTAGCCATGTAACTTTTACTGAGTCCAAGAGCATGCCACTCACCACACGACACACCAATAAGTCAAGAGACAGGGTGTTGGGGCAAGGAAAGCCTCTTGATTCAGAAAGCCTGCAGGCCGAGAAGACGGCAGACTAAGGTCCTAAAGCCCCATCTTCACACAGGGTTGATCGCAAGCTTCTTTTATTCTAGAGGAAGGGGTTCAGGAGGCAGAGCAGGTTAGGAGGTGATTGAAGGATGCAGGCATCTGGGCACCAGTGCAGGTCCGAGGAGAGCTGAGAAACTCCAGGTCCTGGGTGAGGGGATTCTCACTGTGACCTAGGTCTGGTCACAGTGTTCCTTAAACTCTCTGAAAAGGCAACCATTATATCCACACATATTTCCCTATCTCCTAGCAGAGGCAAGCTTTGGGTAAGGAGCTATTTGTAGCAATCTTGATCTGTAAGCAAAATTCCTAGGGATGATCAACAAGCCTATGTGCAGAGCTGCAGGGCTGAGCAGAAGCCTGGTTCTTTTTTTCCCCTTTTGGCCCAAAGGTTAAGGTAGCAAAAGAGACAAATGCAATATGAAGGTGGAGATGCCAACTTTTTCACTCGGTTACATAACCACTACCCAAATCAAGAAACAGAACCAAGATGTCTCATTTCCATCTATCTTTACTATAAGACAGACCCAGGTGGATTTTAATTCTTCAGTAGATTCAAACAACCTCTTTATTTATCTACTCCCCTCTTACAGATTGTATATTATTTCTCTATGACAAGAACTCTTCTCTCTGCCACAGATCAATGATTGGCAACACACACACACACACACACACACACACACACACCTATGAGTGTACCTATATAGAGAGCACCTACCAAGTAAGCATATTGTTTTGCCTGAGGGTTTCAGCCCCTGACTGGTTTACTATGGATTTGGTGAGACTGAGAAATGACAATGGAACATTCTTTGGTAAAAGGGTTTATTTCCTGGCTCTATTCTCATGGCAGTAGTTTGATCACTAGAATCACATCTGTATCCAGCAGTCTGCAGGTCCATAATCCACCTCCATCTCTGCCTCCACCAGGGCACTGGGCAGAGCTCTTTATATAGTGACTCAGTCAATTATAGCTTATTGCCTGTGGGTGTGGAAGCATTAGCCTAGCAGTAGGTCAGTTACATCATCAAGTAGTTTAGGGTCAGGTGAGAATCCTGGCCATAGGAACTTTCATTTTCCCCACACATATATACTGTATCAAATAGACTCTTTTTTTTTTTTAGCATTTTATGTGAAGTAATATAGCATCCAATTAAGAGCAAGGACTCTGGAGCCAGACTGTCTGAATGTTATTCCTAACGCCTTACCTTGGCCTCAGGCAAATCATTTGTCTCTCTATACCTCAGTTTTCTCATCTATAAATCAGAAATAATCCTACCTCTCTAAAGGGTTGTGAGGACTAACTGTGTTAGACATGAGAAGGACAATACTGGGCACTTGGTAAATACAATGAAAGGATTAACTGCCAGGATGTGCCGTGTGCAAAGCACTGCCTCAGGTCCATGGTTACATAAAGAAACAAGGGAGAGAGTCTGAGCCCCTGCCAATGAGTCAGGAAAGCAGTGGTGGAGTCTCAGTGACTGTGTTCAAGAGAAAGCCAGGATCAAATGTGTGCTGATTCCTCCAGCCTGGAAATTGTCTATCCCTAGCTAACCATTCAGTTGATTTCATCAGGTATCTACAATGTTCCAGGCACCATGCCATTTCTCCTATAAGTAAGGGGTCAAACTTCTTCCATTTCTGGTATTAGCAAAATGCCTGTTTGGGGTCAGTTGTTTCAGAACTAGTCCACATCTACTGTCTAGTTCTTACACCAACAGACAAAAACAGTTCCCAGGGTGTCAGCTGTTCTGAATAACAAACCCATCCTGAGACAAAACCAGCAATGGCCCTGAGTGATCTTCCCCACCCAGGCTTGGGGAACTCAGGAGGCAGGGGGTCGTGTCTTCCTTATGAGGTGGGTGGCAAAGAAGGGTGTCAGTTGACTCAGGCGTTTGAGCAAGAACAGACAAGCTGTCCCCAGATGAAGAAGTGGGAACGCAGTGGTCAGACTCCCGTGAGCCTAAACTCACTCAGTGAGCTTAGATTGCTGTCATGGAATCAGTAGCTTAGCTGCATTTCCATCATCAGACAAATGCCCCTGGGGAATCATATCTGGGTAGCCTGGGCTGAGAGGGGCTTCTCTGAAGACTTGAAGGTTAGTAAGCCTACTTTGCTTGTGTAAACACTTTTCACTCATTAAGCACCTAACAGATGTATGTGTATGTGAAGGGCTGTGTGAGTGTCATGAAAACACAGTGTGACTGAGCATGTACCTCCTGCCCTCAAAGGCCCAACAGGGAAGACAGCCAAGGTGGAAGGTTAAAGGATATTTCTATCACTTAGATGGCTGACGGACAATATTATTCACTCTTGTGGAGTCAACTATGCTGCGTCAGAGACAGACCAGCAAGCAGGGCGTGAAACATGAGGGGGCTTGGAGTCACGTAAAGCAGGTGAGCAGCATCTTGTGCGCAGTGGAAACAGGGAAGAAAGAGGACAGCAATTTGAAAATAGGAGAACTCAGGAGGTTTGCCTCCCATGGATGTCAGACATGATCCATCTTTTCCTCTCTTTCACTCTTTCTCTGTTTGATTATTTCATTTTCTCTTTTCAATTTAGGAAGTATACCAATATATATGAAGTAGTGTGACAGACAATGTGTGTACTCTACCCACCAACCAGATGAACAGAAGGAAGTGCTTTGCCTGAGTTGCCACAGATCTCACTTTTTCAAAAAGAAGAGAGAAGAAACAAAATGTGAGCGAGAACTGGTGCCTCCCGCACCTCCTCCCATGCTTGCTCTCCCAAGAAGGAGCCGCCACCCAGGAGTCACTCCTTTGCACTCCTGCCCACATACTGTACGTAGGTGGGTCCAGTCCACATAGGAAAGGCCTTCATGGCCGTACATTTTATATGAGTTGCATCATCTTATATTGGGATTGGCTCTTCAAAAGAGGTCAGACTGTTTTTTCCCCTCAATTTTTTTTTACTGTGGTAATACACACAAGCAGCTCTGGGGACCTTATGGCTGGTGGCTCTGAGCATCTTTCAGACCCGGGAAGGCCGTCACCCAAGCATGAGGGTTTGGAGGAGAGTGTGCTCCCCAAGTTTAAGGAGTAGGAAGTCTGGGTGGACCCCCAACCACCTTGCAGAGCTGGATCATTACAGAACCACTGGCAGTAAGTCCAAAGGAAAACAGAAACCTTATGACAATCTTCACACAGGTGTTCCTGTCAGTCGTACCCAAGACTTCACATTTTTGAAGTCAAGGTCACTTCTCAGACCTTCTCTTCCTTGACCCATCGTCAGCACTGGACACAATCACCTCCCCCTTCAAACACTGTCTTTCTATGACCCCTGGGACACTACCACCTGGCCACACCTTTCCAATCTCTTTGCTGATTCCTATTCAAGTTTCCAACCTCTAAATGTTGGGGCACAGTCCTCAAATATTCTGCTGCCCACACTCATCTCTTAGGTGACCTCATTCCATTGCATGTCTGGAAGTACCACCTACTGTGAAAATCCCAAATGTATAACCTAAGCCTAAATCTGTCCCCTGGACATACCTCCAGCTAATCAAAGCCATCATCATTGCTTACCTGGATCACTACTGCAAAAGTCTCCACTGGCCTCCCTACTTCCATCTACAACCTATTCACTATGTAGATATTCATGAAAGTCCAATCATGCCTTTTCTCTCCTCAGAACCCTTCAAGGATTACTTTCTCATTTAGAATAAAAGCCAAGGTTCTGACTCTGTCTACAAGGTAGAGAGGCCCTCCACCACCTCTCTAACCTCATTTATTACTCATCGCACCCCTGCCAGTCTGCTCCAGTGCACTCGCCTCCTTGCTGCTCCTGAGAACACCAAGCTCACTCTGCCTCAGGACCTTTGCACGTTGCCAGTGGCTTTGCCTGGAACTTCTGTCCCTCCCACACATCCCCATCACTTCCTCTGGGCAGCCACTCAGGGATCAGCTTTTCACCAGTACTTTCTCTGATTACCCTACATAAAATGAGAGTGACTTATTCTCGGTTTGCCTCCTTCCCTCTCTCTCATGACAGACACTTGGGATGCGGCACCCAGGTTTCTCTTCAGTGAGGGACTTGTTGCCCCAGCTGCCTGCAGTGCAGTCAGCAGATAGCCAGCTGTCAGCCCCTTCAGGGATCGCCTCAGTTAGAGACATGGCCCCAAGCATGCAGAGAAAGCACTAGGCCATTGCATTAAAACCCCAGGTGCCCACCTGTGCAGACTGACTGCCTTTGCTTCCTGTGAATGGGAGAAGGTGCATGAGTCTGTCATTGGTGTCAGCTGGTGGGGGACAGTTTCACTCAAGGGAACTCTGATACAAAGTGGAAAATGAAAATCTTCTATGACTGGGACTTTGAGCTTTACCTGTTGTCCACTTCTGGAAGACCTGCGTTACAGGTCTACATTGACATATTAGCAGTTGGCAAATGGGTTCGCCAAGTGGTCAGAGACTATGGAAAAAAAATCAGTAACATGAAAATCTGGGGAATAGGTGTGTGGACGTTCTCTTGCAATGACACTGAGTATGAAGATACTTGGTCCTGTGAGCATGTCCTCCAGAAACTCAGCATTGCACAGGAGCTCTTATTAATCAGGTGGGCACCAAACCCCCCATGCTATTGCTGTTGGTTGGCCTCCCCCCCAGCCTGCCCCAGGCTTGCTCGAAGTGACCATGGATTATCAGAGACTGAAAAGAGCCATCAAGGTATTTCTCTCTGCTTTGACCCTTTATCGTTGTTGGCATTAGCTGTGAATTTCCATGACTATGGAACTTGCTGGATGCCCTCCATCCCCACTGGGTGGCAGTAACTCTTTCCATTCCTTGTCCCTTGGGTAGGTAACAGTCTCCATTGCTGCTGGTCTCTGGGTGCCTCACCAGCCCTTGTGTGTTTCCTTAACCCTTTCAAGCCGGGTGAGTGGTCTTTCCATTGAAGTCTCCTCATTGGAACCATCCAGGAAGATTCTGTGTCCTGCCTGGACACGAACTGAGTCTCTGCCTTTTGTTTTTCTCTTATAGGACTTATCACCTTCTGACATACTACATGGTTACATCCTTGTGGGTTTTTTGTCCATTTCCCAATACTAAGAGGCCATAAACTCCATGGGGGCAGGTACCATCTTTATTTCATTCACTGTTGTGTTCCTCACTCTTAGAACACTGCCTGGCTCATAATAGCTGAGTAATAAATTACGGTTGAAAAATAAATTTCAAAATCAATGAATGATATCTACAGACAGCTTGAGTCATCTTCTGGCAACATTAAGCTGAAACCTGGGGATGTTTACTAGCCTTTAGGTGGAATTTTGTCCAGTGATTCACTGTTTACAGCAGCATCGAAAACCATATCTAGATGGTCTGCATGATGGTATAGAAGCAGCGGATGATTGGTTCACACACTTGGGCAGGGATAAACATTGTCGTCTGCATCTATGACACAAAGAGACTGCTCATGGTGACTGCAGGGGACCCAGATAACTTCTCTTTTATAAAGGATCGTGGTGCGGGCTTATCTTCAGATAGAGAACTTGTAAATTGTCGGATCGCAGCGGCCACACTGAGTATGACTAAAGACCTTCCGTACTGCCCGCGCCGTTCTCGGCATGCAGACGTTACAGCGCTGATGACATTTTACACCTCCCACTGGAAGATGCTCCTTTAAAAAAACGCTCATTGAAGTTTCCTCATTAATAATTTCAATGAACAGTTTTATTTAAACATACCGCCAGCCCTCCCTGTGGGTGTGGGGTGAAACATCAGGGACCTAATTCAAGAGTCCTTGCCGCTAAGGTAGTGGGCTCCACTTTATTTTTACCTCCTTATTTTACATTTTAAGTCCATGTCTTTAGAACTGAAGATAATCAGAGCCAAAATTTCTGATTTTGGTCAATAATAATAATAATCATATCAATTATATTACTATATAATATTATTATATTATCCTCTCTAAATGAGATGGAAAAAATCGCATTATTTTTATTAACATAACATTTTATTAACATAATTATTACATTATTAACAGTAATATAATTAAGAGAATATATTAATATGACAACATTAATGTAACTAATATAATAATTTTAGTAATATATTATTGTATTACAATAATATAATAATCATGTTTTTAATATAATAATGATAAAAGGCCAATAAGTTCACATTAAAATAGTGCTTCTGTCACCCAAGCTCTGTGGGTTTATAACAGCACTATTTGTAATAGCTGCATATGGGAAACTACACAAGCACCCACTCTCAGAGGAATAAATTAAAAATGTGAAGTATATTCACACAATCAAAATTAGTGATCTTCCCAGTCACACCAGATGGATGAACCTCACAAACATTTGTTCAGACACGTGGTAACAACTTTGTGCATCTATTAAAATAAAATTTTTTTTAAAGTACAGGTAAAATTAAAATATGCTTTTAGAAGTTAGAGAGCAGTCACCCTTAAAGGCTGAGAAAAGACTGCTGGGGGCATGTCAACAAAGCTGTGTTTCATGATCTGGGTGCTGGTTGCATGGGTATGTTCAGTTTATGGAAGCTCTACACTTACGGTATGTGCATATTTCGATACGTATATTCGTTGTCAATAAAAAGCTGGGTTTTGTTTAAGATTCCTGGTCATCTTCATTTCTAAGGAAGAAATACCATTTCATCACTTGCACAGCTGGGGCCCAGCACTTTGCCTGCTTCCTGACCAACCCAAGGAGCCTTATCACACAAATTAGGACATCCCTGTGATTGCTCCTCAGTTTTTGATGGTTTCAGTACTTGAAATGGGTTTTCATTTTTATGTCCCTCCATGGCTAATCCTACTGAGTTCCCTTATGCAATTAAAATTTTAACATTTAGGATAAATTCTTAGTATTCTTAATCATGAAAGATAACAATAGCTACTTTCTCATAAGCCAGGGTCTGTTGCTAGGTTAATATGCGGTATCTCGTTTTGTCCTCCCAACAGTCCTGCAAAATAAGACCACTGAGCCCATTTTACAGAGGAGGAAGCTAAGGCTCAGAGAGGTGGAGTACCTTGGCTAATGAGAAACATGCCCGAAATTCTGCTCTAATAGTTCATGTCCCGCTTCCAAGTGGTTCATTCTGCAACAGACTCCATTTTGGTGAGCAGTTTTTCTATGCTTTTAAAAGAGGCCAAATGGCTCGCAGCCATGCTGGTCTGAGCTAACTGGAGGCTGCCTGATATGAGGCTCACAAGAGCTGAAGGGGAGGATGTTTGTGCTGAAAAATCCCAGGTCCTGGTCCCTAATGCCCAGCCCTAAACTGCAGAGGAAACCCCTAATTGTCAGGCAAGCCAGAGTGCTTTAAAAGTCTTGGCAAGAACTCTGAAATCTGACCCAGCCAGCATGTGTCCCTGAATATCATAGTAGACACTATATTTATCCTGAAAAGCCCTTTAGAGCACTGAGAGCTATAAATAGTCAGTAGGGCCCAAGCAAGTGGCCTTAACACATGGATTTCCTTCCAAAAATGCAGACCCATTTTAATTAAATTTGTGATTAACCTTTGGGAGGGCAGGCCCCTGGCTTCAGTTTGCTTTTGGAGACACCGTGAGTAATTTCCTATTCATTGGACATTTGGGGATTAGCACACCCTCCGGGTGTTCAGCTGGCAGCAGCTCCCTGGCCAGGACGCTCCGGGCTCCATGCACGAGGGAATGCACCTTGCAGTCTTGGGCGTCCCCCAGCCCCTTGTCTCTTTGCAAAGCTGATTCCTTGCTACCATTTTCCCTCAGACCAAGATGGGAGTCTCAGCTGTGCTCATGCTGCCCCTGCTGCTCTTGGGCATCAGCGGCCTTCTCTTCATCTACCAAGAGGTGTCCAGGCTGTGGTCAAAGTCAGCTGTGCAGAACAAAGTGGTGGTGATCACCGATGCCATCTCGGGACTGGGCAAGGGTAAGCTGGCTTTGCCCCCACTTGTGCAGACCCTGGAGAGGTGGGAGGGGGCCAGGGCTGTGTTCCTCCCTCGCGTCTGTCATTACTCAGCAAGTGTCTTCTCTTTGGGAGGCTGCAGCTTCCTTTCCTGAGAAATGAGGGCATTGGAACATCTGGGCTTGCAAACGCATGGCCTCCGTGCCACCGCCGGACTTTAGGGGTGATCTGTTTTGCCTTCCTGGGGTTTCCAGGAATCCTGAAACACACAGCCCACAGCTGGGGTGGGGTCCTAATGATAAGCCCAGATGTGGGAGCTGGGTTCAGTTCCTGGCTCCACCACTTACTAGCCGGTGACAGCACTTGTTAGCTTTGGGTTTCTCATCTGTGACGCAAGGGTATTAGTTGTCTCTGCTTCATAAGGTTGTTGTGAGGACCAAGTGAAAGAATAGATGGAAAGCACTTAGAAGCACTCAAGTGTTAGTGATGGTATAATGATGAGCAAATTAAGGCAGAGCATGTACCCTCCAGCACGACACCAGCCCACTGATCCCTATTTATCATACTTACTGCAATTCTCTCAGCCCTATCACCTCCTGTCTTGAAGGCATTTATGTCTGCAACCCCTGAGGTAGATGGTCTCAGAGAGCCCTTCTGCGGGTAGCATCTGTGACATGAGAGGTAGTAAACATCCTTAGGTCTGTAAGATTCTGCTCTATCATTCCTAGCAATGGTAGTGCAGCCCCATATCTTATTTGGCTGTGTGGTAGTTCTTGCTGTGGCTTTGTTACTTTTAATCCAACATAGAAGCCACACAGCCAAACATTCATTAGGTCACCCAATGAGTGTCCACTACATCCCAGGCATTGAGATGTGCCCTGGGGGGCTGAGTGCCACCTCCGGGTGCTGCCCTCATGAGAACATTTGTGACCTTTAGTCTGGGAATTTTCTTGGGCGTCCTGGTGGGAGCTAACCTGTGCACTTTGAGGATGGGTTTAATTCAGTGGGTGACCAGCTGAGGTTTGCTGTGTAAGGTGAGGCAGATAAACGAGGTTCTCTGTGCAGCCCCAGCTGAGCCCCAGAAGCAGTTCCCAAGGAGGACATCCTGCAGCATGAGACTCAGGGCTCAGATGGGAAGTGCCCAAACTCCAGAAACAAGCTAGGACACACACATTTGTCAATCAGACCAGAAACACCACCACAGGGAGTAGCTGCTGTCCTGGGGCAATAGAGCAGACATCCAGCCAGAGACACCCAGAGCCCATCTTTGGTAAAACCTATTCTTCCAATCAAACATGCTTATCTAGCATCAGGCTGGCTGCTAACATGAGACCCCTTTACTGTGAAGCTTCCTCTGCCACCATAACGGCTACTTCTTCTTGGATAGGCCGTGAGGAGCTGGCTCTGGGCTCCACGGCCCCTGGTATGAACACACCACTCTGAGAGCATGTCTCACACTGTCTGGTTCTGTGTGTTCTCTGCTGGCCTGCTAGACACAGGCTCCTCTGTGCTGGTGCCTATATTTCATTTGCTCTGGTGTCCCCAGCACCGAGCTCAAAGCCTGGCATGTATAGTAAGCACACAAAGATGCTTATTTCATAAATAGTCTAACAGTGACCATCTGATGAAGGAAGGCACTCATTCGGTTAAGTGTTGTACACTTGCTTCATTGATTTCTACCTGGATTCTAATACGATCAGAAAAAACACACTGTATTATTTCAATTCTTTTCAATTTGTTGAGGTGTGTTTAATGGCCCAGGGTGTGGACTCTCCTGCTGAAGGATCCACGGGGGCTTGAAAAGAAGGTGCATTTCCCCTGTTGTTGGGTAGAACGTCCTACAAATGTCAATGAGGTCCTGTTGGTGGGGGAGGGGGAGGCTCATTATTCTATATCCTCCCTGAGCTTCAGTCTGACTCCCTGGCACCACTGTTCTGTCTGTTGTCAGGAGATGCATATTTGTTCCAATTATAGTCACATTCTGTATATAAATCAAGTGCCCAGGAAATACACCTCAGGGGCAAAATGGCATCTTCAGAGTAACATGGTCTAGTCTCTGTCTTGCCTAATGTCATTGTTCTTCTTCACTGTATCTTATAGACCCACCCTGGAAAGAAATGCAAAGCAGAAAAAAATAAAGTCCAGCTATGCAGAAGTAACTTGAGAAGCTGGGCATGAGTGACCTTAAATAAATGCCCAGCCAAAACTCACTGCTGACCACAGTGATTCCAGGTTCCAGCTGCACCATTTCTGAGGTCCCAGGCAGGGCAAAAGTGAGGGCCCTGCATGGATGGCTCTGTGCTGCCTGTAGCTGCACCCTGGTCCCACGGAACCTGACTGAACCTCGTGGGTAGCACAGGATAGCAGGGAGGAGCCCAGCACCAAGCTATTTACTAGGGAAATCAGACAAAGATCAGGACCTCTATCTTTGCCCAAAGCCCATGCAACTCAGCCAAGTTGGGAAATGGGTCACCTAGGGCCCATTGTGTCTGCAGTGAGAGTGACTCTCAAAATGCTTGGCCATTGCCCATGAACTGCTTTAGAGGGCACAGATGCCTGCCTGGGCTTCATCACCTCTAGATGCAGTTTTTCACCTTTACATATTTCTGAAATTAAGCAGATTGTCTGTCACCCAACGGCATCTTACAATAGCACAGGCATTTTACTATCTCTGGAATCGGGAAGCACCTAACACTCTGATGACATCTTAGACTTGGGGAAACATGGAAGGAAGGGCTCAATTTTTGTTTTCTGCATGAAAAAGAAAAGGTCTGGTACCAACATTCTTGGCACAAGATAAATGCTGTGCTGAACTGAGCGATAGACAATGAAAATAAGAACACCTGAGTATAGTGCCTGGCGTTCACAGAAAGGGCGTATTTGGGAGTGAGCCCTCAGGCCTGCTGTGCCAGAGCAGTGATGCACCACTGGGCTCACCCAGGAAAGGCAGGTGTGAGGCAAGAAGAGGGGAAACAGTGATGGTAAATACACTCCCAACTGCCTCTCCCAAGGAGGTCAAGGCCCCAGGCCCCTCACTTTCCCCAGGATCTCAGCTAGTGTATGTGCCTGTCTTCATGCAAGGGAGGGTAAGAGTGGACAGCAATACCCCCCTCCCCAAACACACTCCTTTCTCAGCAGTGGTGTGGGGCCAAGAGGCAGACTAGTGCAGAGAACAAGGCACCCTGACAGGGAATCCCTGCTTGGGGACACTTCCTGGCTTTGCCTGTCCCCAGCAGGGGGACGCTGGGTGAATCACTTCAACTCGCTGAACCTCTGGTTTGTAAAGCACGGCCACCGAGGGTGCCCCACACCCAGCGTGGCTGCCACTCTGACAGCTGGAATGTGGAAAGGCCAGGCTTTCTCCCGCCAGAGGATGTTTCTTTGAGTGAATTCTGCTATTATAAAAGCCATCGATATTTTAAAAAGATTTTTCAACTAAAAAGAACATAAAACACACCTAGAACCCACCCACTCGGGCGCCCTTCATCCTGCTTCCTTTCAGCTCCCATATGATGCTTACGTGGGTAACCAGCAGTGAGCAAGCCCAGATCAGGGCGTGGGGAGACGGCCTACCTCACCCTCTCAAATTCACTCCGAGGGCAGTCTTCGTTTGCATCTTGATTTGAAAATAAGGAATGAGTAGTCATGATTTTTCTGATTACTATTAGATTATACAAACTAGTCATGATAAGTCCCAAAACATAACATTGATTCAGCAGTTGGGAAGCCTCGTCCAGTCCTGTGGATGTGTCAGTTTCCTTTGAGATTAAAGCTCCTTTCTCCCTCCCGGTTCCTCCCCCAGCTGGGCATGGTGCCCACCGCTTGCTGCTCCTTCTGACCCCCCTGGGGGTGGAGAGGTGGGACAAAGCAGGAGAAACCCTGCCTTACCCGACACTCTTATAAGATGACTTCAAGCTCCACAGCCTGGCACGTGTTTAAAACCGAGTCTGATGCTTTCCCTTGTGGGCAGTTCTGCTGGTTCTCAGAGGCCTTTGCAGGGACTGCTCGTTCGCCCTGTCTGTGAAGTGTGGCACCACCTTGCTCAGTCCCGGCTTGGCTCCTGGTTTGGGGGCAGTCTACTGCACCTACGCCCTCTGTTTTAGCATCTCACCGACCTTCTAAGAGGTCCTCAGGCAGAATTCAAAGAGCCTCCAACCAATGCATGGCTTCCCTGAGGCCTCCAGTGGTGTGGTGGGCTCTTCAGAGCAGGGACGGGTCCCCTCTGCTCTGGCCCGTCAGGTTTCCCAGGTGGCACTCAACATCAGCTTGGGCCCCCGGCTGCAGGGAACTCATGGTATGCTGCACACATGGCGCCCCGGCTCCCTTCTCTCTAGGATGGACATACTGGGCAAAAACCTACCTAACAGTTCTCTCCCTACCAAAAATCCCCTCCTTCAAAGTGCTCCCTTCCTCTTCCTTGATCCATTTGTGTCCTATTTTGGCGTAAAGGGTATTGAACTTCATAAAACAGGGTTTTAGTTATTTCCTCTGAAAATTTGCATCTTGGGCTGGCAACTAACTTTGGGATTTTATATCTATTTGATCTTGATGCCTGTCAAACTGTCAATTTTAAATCCTGTTACATATGCACATGTACAGTTAACTTCTAATTATACACACACACACAGAGGTAAGTGTTACAGCATTGTATTAGACACTGTTTTGAATTTTTTTAATCTTACTATATTGTGAACTTCTTCCCATGTCAGTAGACCCATTTCTGCAACATCATTTTTAAAGTCTTCAAAATACTCTATATATAGATTTACCACTTAATCAAACTGCTATAATATTGGACATTTACAGTCATCTCCAACTCTTTGCTATTATAATAGTATTGAGATAAACAATATTATAACTATGTCCATACAGACATTCTTAATTATCTCCTTAAGATGAATGTCCATAAATGAAGTAACTCAGCCAAAGTCCATACTTATAAGGACACTATCAAATTTTTGTTCCTGAAGATCATGGCAATTTACCCTACCACCAGGAGTGAATGCGTGACTATTACCAATTTTGTTTTTGATTATCTTAGAGATTAAAATTAATGTCATGTTTTAAACCGCATTTCTTTATTATTGGCATTGGCAATTCATCTTCTGTATATTAGCTCCTTGCTCACGTTGCTCACTGATATCCTATTCTTTATTAGGGTCTTTATCTTATTTTCTTATTGATTATAAGAGGTCTTTGTAGATCAAATAAATTAACCCTTTTCTGATACATGTATCACAAATAGTTCCCTCAATTTATCTTGCTCTTAATTTTATATATATTTTCTGCTGTAAAGATGGTATTTTTAGAGAAAAAAATCTAGAAGTCATTTCTGTTGTGATTTCTTCTTTCAGTCTCATGCTTAAAAGATCTTTCCCCAAAGCAAGGTTTTGTATTCATCAACTTTTTCTGTTTTTTACACATAACTATTTAACATTTTGGTATACTGCCTCTTGATTTTTTCTTATCCTCAAAAAAAATTACCCAGTAGTCCAAAAAACTACTTTTTAAATAATACATTCTTTTCCCATTGATTCAATAAGCTGCCTTATCGCCCACCACCCATTTCTAGACTCTGTGAGACCTCCCATCTCTCAGCCCTCTACTTTCTTTCTCTTGCAGCCCCTGCTCCTTCATTCCTGCTCCTAACTGGTTTAGACTGCACAGTCCAGCACCCTAAACTTACTCTCCCTCCAATGCCACAAGACTTAAAAAAAAAATTGCCCTTGATGTTGAATTTGGTTTCTGGACATAGCCAAAAATAATTCAGAACTAAGTCTGGTATTCTCTCTACCCCTACCAGGCTTTTGAGCCCTGCAAAAGAAAATCGCACAACCCTAAGAACACTTTAAGCCACTGCATTCAGGATATCCAGCCCCCAGTGGGCACCCAATGCTGTGTAGCTCTCCTTTGGCATCTGGTCAGTCCATGCCCATGACTGCCTGGTATAAAATGGGACAGTAATAGGTAAGCACCCCCGCCATCCCCCCCATCAATAATAAGTGGTGGTGGTGCCCTCCCCAGATCCCTGTGCCTGACGAGTTTGTCCAACCCCCCAGGTGCTGTGAGTGCTGGCAACATTGCTCACAGACTTGCCCTCTGCCAGGGGAAACTTCCTGGCCCAGGATTTACACCCCGAACAGGGAGGCAGTACGTACCCAATGACTGGATGATACAGGTTTAAAAACACCCAGGCCTCATACATCCAGGTGGCACAGCTCTGCAGCTGGGCTCACACTCCAGAGCCTTCCTTGGATGCAGCCAAGGCTAGCCTGTGCCTGAGGCCACACCCTCGCCTGGCACCTACCCTGTGGCCTTACTCCCTGGAGCACTCCCGCACTCCCACAGTAAATCCTGGCCACCTGGATCTCTGTATCTGTTTCTGCTTCTAGGGAATCCAACCTAAGACTACCTCATAAGGTCACCGTGAGAATTAATGAGTTAATATATGTAAATCTATTTCACAGCCCCAAGAACAAGGAAGTTCTAAAAACACATTAGCTTTTACTGTTCTTAAATATCAGTATTATTGCTACACGAGAATGCTATGTGTCTACTAGCCATTGCCCAGTTGAGAAAGCCCTATATTGGATGAGTTGGGAGTAGGTCCAAAATAAAGTTAACTGAACAGAGGCAGGTTTACTTTTTAAATAAAAAGAACCCTGGCTGGACTTTGATCCACAGAGAAAGCGTGAAAGAAGTGGATGATATTTGGTCTGAAAAACACATGGTGACAGTCTCTAATATTCTTAGGTTAAGAAATATTTAGGGGTTGGTCCTGGGGGGCGGGATGGACAGGGTCATCTTTCTGCCCAGTTTAAGGAAGAACGTACTACCATCAGAACTACCCATTGACGGAGGGCTGCTTTGCCTTATATGAGCTCCCCAGCCATGCTAAGGCCAAACATGAGAAAAAACTTCAGTGTTGGGAGGAGGAGGAACAAAATGATTCCCAAAGGACTTCATGGCCCTAAGACTTCTGAGTTGTTTGACTTCTTAAGAGAGGGGGGCTCCCCATCAGTGGCTCTATCCATACAGTACACCCTGCCCTCTTCCCTTCTTCCCTACAGAGTGTTCTCGGGTGTTCCACATGGGCGGGGCAAGGCTGGTGCTGTGCGGAAAGGACTGGGAGAGGCTCGAGATCCTGTATGATGCGTTGATCAGCGTGGCTGACCCCAGCAAGGTGAGGCCTTCTGGCAGTCAGCTGGGGGTGCTCTTGGGGACTCTTCGCCTTCATTAGTTGTTAAAGGGCAGCTCTTTGAGCAAGTGGGAGAAACTTGGTGATTGCTTTGGGGTAATATAAGGCAATGGTCTCACTAATCTTGACACAGGCATTTGTGCCAGTCATGAAGATTGACTTGTTTTGACCACTCATCATGCCAAAAATTTGTTCTCTAGCCAATGACGCTCCCCACCCACTACTCAGAGGATTCAGAAGATAGGGTATGTCATAGTATAGGCTCTGATTATAAACACATCTGTTTGATTTAAAAAATAATAATAACTTCAAATGATATTTCCTTCAAAGGAATCAGAGAAATGAAGTCCCCTTCTAAGAAGTCACCTGGGAGGTAAACACTTATTTCAACTGCTAGTTTTCAAAGCATTTCTGGGGTATTGTTTAGGGAATTGCCCTAGGAGCTCTCTTCAGAACTTAAAAAACAACAATAAAAACCTTTGTCCTTGATGTTGAATTTGGTTTTGAGAAATAGCCAAAACTAATTCAGAACCAAGTCTGGAATTTGAGGAAATGGAGGACACAGGACAGCACTGCATTCTCCAAGGTGTGTGTCTTGGGGTGTTCTTAGGTATTGAGTAAAAACAAGGTTCTGAGATCAATTGTGTGGGAAATTCTGAGTAAAGTGAAGTTTGTCTCGATGGTTTCTTTACCACAGGCCTTTTCAGAGCCTTTGATACGCTAATGTACATTGAGTATCTCGAAGAAGAACATATAACAGTTTGTGTTTCCCGAACAAATTTGACAGGGACCCTTCTTTTCAGGACTAGTGTTTGTCAAACATTAGAATTGCATTTACTATATGATATCACCCATTTTCCAATCTGTTCCCACCTCTAGACCATTACAGTCTTGATGACAGCAAGGGTCTAGAGCTGAATGCAATGCCTGGTGGATAAATGGTGTCCCAAAAATACTGTGCTGAGTATATGATTTTGGTCAAAAACAAAATGTGGCTACTAAGTACTGTGATGGGTTCTCTTGGGGCTTATAAGCAAATTTGGAAAGCGATTTCCAAAAAGGAGCTCATAAATGCTATAAGTACTGGCATCATCCCTGGAATCAGTGCACAGCCTTCACTGTGAAGGGCAATACACATTTAGATATATCAGTTCTGGCCCCTTGGACAAAGTTCAGAAGTATTACTGCATGTTTGGATTATTGTCGTTGCTGATACCCAAGATGGAATCTCCACCAGTTTCCGGTCTCCCAGAGTCATCTCTGTGTCTTCCTCATCATTTTTGGGGTAGTCATTCCATGGCTCTGAATTTCAAAAGGGATGCCTATTGGATTGAGGGGCCCCTAAGGTCTGTGAGAAGGAGGAATTTGCACACATGCCTTGACTCTCTCATTGGCTCAGCAGACATTTACCCCGAAGCTGGTTCTCTTGGACTTCTCAGACATCAGCTGTGTCCTGGATGTGGCCAAAGAGGTCCTGGACTGTTATGGCTGTGTGGACATCCTCATCAACAATGCCAGCATGAAGGTGAAGGGGCCTGCCCATAAGATATCTCTGGAGCTCGACAAAAAGATCATGGACGCCAATTACTTTGGGCCCATCACATTAACCAAAGGTCTCGTGAGTTTAACCTTCCCATGAATTTCTGGGCCACTGGCTGCTAGTACGGGCTCAGTTACATAGCCAGATAGTCACCCAGTTCTGGGTGGAGACTCCAGCCCTGCTGAAAAAAACCTCTTCCTATTTGGTGAATGCTTTCAGCATTCTGACTGATGAAAGATAGGGATTTTGAAAGTACATTACTAGTATATTCCAACCTCCCTCTCTGTGAATCCCTTTCCCCACCCAAGACCTGCCATTTACCACCCTCTTCTTATAGCCATGGCTACCTCTCCAATCCCATTCCACATCCCTGGACCATCCTTTGCATATATTTTGATATATCAACTTTGCAGTTGATCTTCCCCCAACCATGAGAGTTGATCAAAGGCAGCACTCCTTCAGAAATGAGAAAGAAAAAGCTTTATCCTCAAACCACAAGAGACCCAGCACACTGTTGATCCCTTTGCAGAAGTAGGGAAGTCAGGACAATGGTCCCCTTTAAAGGGTGACATGGTAGTTCCTGTGTGGAGATTTCTCATCACCAAGTTCAAATGCAGGTCTGAAGCCTGGGGGACTGGGGCTGGAGATGATATAGAACAGAACTAAAAGTTGAAGCCTTGCTCCCCAAAAAGGTTTTTCAATACAGAACCCTAAGCGTGAGAATATAAGCACGGGCAATTTCTACATTTAGGGCGTGGGTGCCCTTGCCAAGGCTGAGAAAGCATAATCATAGAGTTGCCTTCTGTACAGCCCAAATCTCCATGATAACGAGATTCTGAGTACAAGGATGGATGAAGGGGAAGACTACTGGGGGCAGAAAGATGACTTCCCAGAGGTTCTAAAATGGTACCGCAGAGGTAACAGTTTCCTCCCGCTGGTGCCTGTGGATACAGCAAGCAGGCCAGCCAAGGTGTGTCATTCAGTCCACCTCTTGAGGGTTCAGGCTCACTGGCATCAAAACGAAGGCTACAGAAAGCCAGGGGGAAAGGCCAGGACTAGCTTCTCTTCCTGCGTGATCCTCAAACTTGCTAGGACACCGGGGTCTCATCACTAGCTCTGAGCCTCAGTTTACTCATGTCTTAACATGCAGGGGCTGGATTTTATTGACCTTCTGAAAGTTTGTTTGTTTGTGTTTTGCCATATCCCGATTCCATCTGTACGCTTATTTACTTCCTATCACTCACTAAATTTCCTCCTTTTTAATGAATTCATTTTAGGAGGAAATCTTCACAATACTACCATAAATTAATTACCCTTTCCCTTTCAATAAATAGAAGAAAACTTGAAAACAAAGTAATAAGTTCTCTTAATGCAGAAGGCTGAAGTCTTTAATCTTTGTTAAATGATTCGCATGTGCAAAAGAGGTGGTAAACACACACAGAACCCACGTGATACCGCCTCCTAGAGGCGATGGGGGACTGAAAGGGGATCACCTTTCTCACCGTGGAAAGCTGTGTCCCTTCATGCACATGGGCGGGTCATTTTAAATCACCCAGCAATTCACCAGTTGAGCCCAGTCCACTCTTAGGGAACACAGGATAAATGGTGGCTGGGGTTCATTCCACCGGCAGCCCCCTATAGTCTAATTACAGGGAGGTAGAGGAGCCCCACATGATGGAGGGGTCTGGGGATGGAGTCTACTGGCTGCCACCTGACTCGATCTCAGATTTGTAACCATAACTCATCGTCCTGTTTTCCAGTCCTGCTTCCCAACATGATCTCCCGGAGGACAGGCCAAATCGTGTTAGTGAATAACATCCAAGGGAAGTTTGGAATCCCGTTTCGTACAGCTTGTAAGTTGCTAAGACAATAACATTTCACCTCATCTTATATGTCTCATAAGATATGAGATGCTTGGTCTAGGAAGAAGCATATGGTTACATGGGGGATGAGGTCTGGAGATGAAATGATCTAGTGGGTTTTCTTTCATCTCTGCAGTTCTTAGTTTTGAGCACCTCTGGCATGCAGGTGACTGGGAGATGCTGAAAAGTAAAAGATAAGGTCCTGACCTCCAGGTGCTCACATCCCACAGGCAGTCAGGACATGCCGTGCTGAACGAGATCAATGCCAGCTGAAGGTCCCACTCCTGACATGGGGGCATAGTCCCCTAGCTCGAATGTCCCTTCAGCCATAAAGGACAGGAAAGATTACAGCCAGGAAAGAAAAAATGTGTGTACATCACAAAAGAGGGATGGAGGGGTTCTGAGGAAGAAAGAGGGAGAAAAGGAAAGAGGCAGAATTCCAGGAGAGATGAGAGAGAGACTTGCAAAGGTGAGCATCCTTCAACAAGCCCGAGGAGGAAAGGGACTTCTCTGTGTATGTTAGTAGGATCCAATTGGGAAAATTCTGGAGATATTCCCATCTCCCGTGAGGTAGGATCTTGTAGGGTGGACAGCGTGCCTTATATACTTCTTTATGGCCCACAGTACCCCACACAAAATAGGACCTCAGTAAATGTATGATGGGTGGAAGGGCGAGAGGGAGAGAGGGAGGAATGAAAAATGGGTTTGTCCCCTGTCTCGGTCTGCTCGAGTTGCCATAACAAAATACTGTAGACCAGGGGGCTTAAACAGCAGAATTTATCTTCACACAGCTCTAGAGGCTGGAAGTCCAAGATCAAGGTGCCAGCAGGATTGATTTCTCCTGAGGCCTCTCCTTGGCCTGCACACAGCCTTTTCCCAGTGTCCTCACATGGTCTTCCCTCTGTGCAGCTCTTTCTGTGTCCAAATTTCCTCTTCTTATAAGGACATCAGTCAGTTTGGATGAGAGCCCACCCTCATGGCCTCATTTAAAAATAACCACACCTTTAAAGGTCCTTATCTCCAAATACAGTCACATTCTGAGATACTGGGGTTAGGACTTTAACATATGAACTTTTTTTGGAGGGGGGGCAGAATTCACTCCAAAGTATCTCCTAACAGTGTTTACTTTCCTTTCTCCATTTGCACTAATTAGATTAAGCCTAAGGTGCTGTGAGGCTCTGCTGTACAAATGAAAGACTTCATTACTCTGTGTAGCACTCTCAGTGGGATGGCAGGTTCCGCAGGCACCACTGTTCCATGCTGTCACTCAGGGAAGCCAGAGTCATGCCAAGTTATTGCCTTGGCATCATTTTCCACATGGTCATAGGTCATTCTGGCTCTGGCTGGCAAGAAGAGGGCAGAGGGCATCAGGGAGGTGCCCAATGTCTTAAGCCCCTGGCCAGGAGTTAGTACCTGTCACCTGCTCACAGCTTGTTGATGAGCAGTCAGTCACTGGCTTCCACTTAGCTGCAAGGGATGCTGGAAGCACAGCCTACCTGTGGGCCCTGGAGGGAGAGAAGAATGGAGCTTGGTCCACACATGGCAGTCTGCTGTCCCTCACTTCCCTCTCTTCCCCAGTCCGTTTATGAAGCTCACCACTGTTCCTGCCGTGTGCATGCATCTTATTTCTCCAGGTATATTATTTCCAGGAGTTGGATTACTTGTCACTTTCCTTGCGCCATGCCTTCATTCATTCAACAAGCAGCAATCAAATGCCTAAAGCCAGGTTCTGGGGACAGACAGCAGTGACAGGGTATGCTACAGCACAGGCCTACAACGGGCCCTTTGGTCACCAGCCAACATGGGGCCATTGCAATGGTTCCTTGGAGCGCTTGTGAAACATGGACTGAGGGTGGAGAATTCTAACAAGGCTCTCTCCACCTGTTTAGCCATGTGTGTTCTGGCTTCCCTGCCACTGAGGAATCAAGGGGTGCAGGGTTTCCCACACACGTCAGTACTACAGGGAAGCCAACCCATGGTGGCCCCAGATTTTCTTATTCCGTAGGTCTGGTTTCTGGGGTCTGCCTGGGAGTGACTGGGGTCATCTGACTGCATGAGTGGGTCTCCTTCCACACCCAAAATAAATGCAGCCTCCCTGGCCACCCCAGCACCATTTAGGTGAGGAAGTGAGGGGCCTGCGTTCAGACCAGACACACAGGCTTAGAGGTGGGCTCGCACCTCTCCCGGCACTAACCACACCTTGTGGGAGTTCCTGCTAAACTGTGAGCTCCACAAGGGCTGTGTCACCCTGATCCCCTGTCTGCAGTGCCCTTCCTGAGGCCTGCCCAGAGCAGAGGCTTCACTGTTGAGTGATTGAAGGAACTGACAAGTTGGTATACAAATGAATAAACTGATAACCCTTTTTGTGTACTAACAGCTCTTTTGACATATAATTCACACACCATACAATTCACCCATTTAAAGTGTACAGTGCAATAGCTTTTAGTATATTCCCAGAGCTGTGCATCCATCATCACAGTCAACTGTAGAACACTTCCACTACCCCCAAAAGAAAACCCTGTACCCCTTAGCCATCACCCTCCCTCTTGTCTGCCTCCCCTAGTCCTAGGCAACCACTAATCTGCATTCTGTCTCTACAGATTTGCCTATTCTGGACATTTCATATAAGTAGAATCATACAATATATGGTCCTTTATTCCTAGCTTCTTTCACTGTGCACAATGTGTTCAAAGTTCATCCATGTTGTAGCATGTATCAGAGCTTCATTCTTTTTGATGGCTGAATAGTACTCCACTGCATGGATAGAACACATTCCTTTACCTGTTCATCAGTTGATGGACATTTGGGTTGTTTCTACTTGGGACTATTATGAATAATGCTGCTATGAAGATTTATGTAAAAGTTTCTGTGTGGACATATATTTTCATTTCTCTTGGGTATATGTACCTAAGAACAGAATTGTTGGGCCATGTGGTAACTATTTGTGGAATAGCCAGCTGTGATGTTTTTACCTTCCCACCCATGAGGCATGAGTTTCCAGTTTCTCCACTCCTTGCCAACTCTTGTTATTATCCATTTTTTTTATTCTAGTCACCCCAGTGGTTTGAAATGGTCTTTCAGTGTTTGATACGTACAGTCCTGATGGTGATAACCCTTTTCATTCAGGTGGGGTTGGTGTCACTGTGAACCAGATGGGAATCCTGACAGAGCACAGGGGACAGGAGGCCTGGATTCCAGCCACTTCTGGCTCTGCAGCCTGGGGCTGTTCACATAACCTCTGAGCTTCTTTTTCTTCATTATTCATAAAATGGGGCTAATAGCCTCTCTTTCTCTCTTCACTGAAACAGATTCAGTTAAGGGGACAGAATCTCACACAGGTGCAGAGAATATCAAATGCGACAATGTACCTAAACCAAGACAATGTATGTAAGCCCATGTTCCATGAACATACAACCTGGGGAGGTACAGTCTGGGGAGCCCAGCCTGGTTTGGTTTGCCCAGCGTGCTGGCAATTTCTGTTAAATTAGCTATTCGGCATTGTGTTATTGTGATTTTTATTAAGAAATATATATTTGGTCTTCACCCCATTTCTGGCATGGAGCTCCTAAAACCTTTGGAATTACCTAAGTGATGAGAACGATCAAGGAGTCTTTTGTCTGTTAAGGAGTTGACTTTAGGACCTTATCTAAGGATGGGGTTGGACACTAGGAGAACCAACCATGTGATCAGAAGGTTGGAACTCTTAGCCCCAGCTCCCTGACCTTGGAGGAGGGGAGAGGAGCTGGAGGTTCAATCAGTCCCAAAGGTCAATGATGTAATTAATCTTGCTAATATAATGAAGCCTCCATAAAAAACCAAGGGAGGGGCTTTGGAGAGCTCTGGGTTGGTGAGCACGTGGAGGGGCTGGGAGTGGGCTGTGCATGGATAAGGCAGGGAGCTCTGTGCGCTTCCCCACACCTTCCCCTGTGCAGCTCTCCCATCTGGCTTCCATCTGAGTTATGTCTTTTCATAATAAACCAGTGATCTAGTAGGTAAAGTGTTTCTCTGAGTTTTCTGAGCTGCTCTGCAAATACATTAGACGTAAGAGGGGGTCACTGGAACCTCTGATCTATAGGTGGTTGGTCAGAAGCACAGGTAACACCCTGGACTTGTGATTGTCCTGAATTTGGGGGAGAGGCAGTCTTATGGGAGCCAAGCAGATGGAGCACATGCTTTCCCAGGTGCCATGACACGGTCTCTGGGTCTGCTTCTTTCCTGACTCCTCGTGTGGCCCGCCGAGGACAGATTTACTCTGGGCTCCTGCTGAAACCTGGAGGGATCATCAAAACCCTGACTACTTCTCAGAGGGTTTCCCCTGGCCCACTCTGCATGACGCGCTTCCTGTGTATCAGCTTGTTCAATCCTCACCTTGTACTCTCCTCTTCTTACGGGTGAGGCATCTGGGCATGCAGCACCTGCATTCTTAGGCCTGCGGATGGTTTCCAAGGGCAGTTGTGTGTGTGGGGGGCAGGCATCCCACTCCTCACTAGCGCTTGGTGTGGTGTGTGGTGTGGTAGCAGAGACCAAGAAGTGCCCACCCACAGCTTCTCAAGACCTCCAACTGACACCCCTGATATGGGAAATTTGGGTTCACCATACCCCAGAAGTGGATCTGACTTCCCAAAGCTCTAAGGAATCCCCACACCATTCTTTTTGGAATTCCTGGACCAATTCCTGTTTACCCAAGCCACACGCTCCTCTATTCAAGTGAATTTGGTGAACAGCTTACATGGACAGGATCTCAGGAAATGAGAGAGGGGGTTCTGTGCTCTGTGCTCACCATGTCACCAGCTGGCCCCAGGATCTTGGAGAAATCACTCGGGTCCCAGCCTTCCTGGGAAGGAAGGGGAATGCTTGCTTGTGCCAGGTATTTTACATGCATTTTCTCATTTGATCTTCACAACAACTTGACAAAGCTGAGATTATCCCCATTTTAAAGTTAAGAAAACCGAGCCTCAGAAAGCTAAAGTGACTTGCCTAAGGTCACACAGTGGGCAAGTAGCTCACCGGGATTCCAATCCAACTCCTCCTCTGCCCACGGTTTCCCGAGGGCTCTCTGTCCTCACCTGCACAGCGAGGTCTGGCTGGTGACTCAGGAGGCCTCTTCCCACTGAGCTTGTAGGACTGTGCATGTAGGCCTCCTGTCTCCTCTGCTCCTACCGGGAGCAGGGCCGGCCCTGCCATGCCCATTGGCTGCTTTCTCTTGCAGACGCCGCCTCCAAGCACGCTGCGCTCGGCTTCTTTGACTGCCTGCGAGCCGAAGTGGAGGAATACGATGTTGTCGTCAGCACTGTGAGCCCGACTTTCATCCGGTCATACCACGTTTATCCAGGCCAAGGAAACTGGGAGGCCTCCATTTGGAAATGTGAGCTTTCAGGGAAGCCAGAGGTCCAGGGGCCTGGGAGGGCTCTAGAGGGCCTCTGGGGGGTGTGGGACAGCCTGCTTTCACTGGGCCAGGGGAGTGGTCCTGAAGCATGAGATTGGTGGCTGTAGGGCCCCTGAACCTGGTTAATAGCAGGGAGAGAGTCCCAAAATTTCAGTCCTGAGGCACCAGATAGAGAGAATCCCAACCTGCAACCAGCAGACCGAGGCCCAGCTGGGCTCACTCGCTCACAGGCTCTGTGATCATGGCCATGTGACTGTTTGTCTCTGGGCCAGGTGGAATAGCCAGGATTGGACCTTTTAGAAGGTTCCCTAGAAGACAGCACAGAGAGGAGATTGCTCATATTTGAAGCTTGCCTGTTACCTATTAAAGTTTCGAGCACAAGCAATTTCCTGGACCTCTGTGCCTCAGTTTCCCCTTTAGAAAACGTGGGAAGATGGTAATACCATCCTTGTAGAGTCACTGGGAGGACTGAAGGTTCTGGCTCATAGAGGGTTTGAAAGAGCAACCAGCACATAGTGAGTGCTCTGTAAATGCCTTTATTATTACGGTTCCAGAAATGCTCTAACGTGAGAGCTGCTACACCCTGCCCAAGGCTTTGTCCACATCAGGGTATCAAGATGGACGACAATGTGGGCAGGTGGTTCCAGGAGGTTCCTGACAAGCAGCTCTTCACAGCCATTATAAACAGCAGCCCCTTAATTCATCTGGAACCTTCTTATTGTCTAAGCTGTTTCTCATCCCTTCTACAGCTCATCGCCCCCCTACAAAGTCAGTAGAGCAGGAAACTACACCCACTCTGAAGACGGAGAAGCTGAGGTGCAGGGGGGCTAAGCGTGTCCCACGCAGCCTCAGGCTGGTGGACAGCTGAGTCGGTCTGAAGCGCACGACTCCAGGCGTGGCGCACACTCCCCTATCTTGGGGCACACATCAGGCTCTGCCGGCTGGCTCCGATGAGGCCATAACTGCCATGCTCCCTTGGGGGCTTTTCAGTTTTTTTCAGGAAGCTGACCTACGGGGTACATCCTGTGGACGTGGCGGAGGAGGTGATGCGCACTGTGAGACGGAAGAAGCAAGAGGTCTTCATGGCCAACCCCGTCCCCAAGGCCGCCGTGTACATCCGCACCTTCTTCCCAGAGTTTTTTTTCGCTGTGGTGGCCTGTGGGGTGAAGGAAAAACTCAGTGTCCCAGAGGAGAGTTAACTGCAGGGTCGCCCCCGATGGGAATAAAGTCTTTCCTGGCAGGAGCTGGATCTTCCTTCCTCTCCCCTGGCGACCCCACACAAGCCACCCCCTAACCTGCCCTCTCCCTGGGGGACATGCCCACCATCCCAGTGAGGATGGCCTGAAGTCCAGGTGTCTCCCACTCGACAGTCTCAGGACACATTTCCAGAAGGTTCTCCACTCCACAGAGTAACAACTGAGCAGAACAACAGGAACCCTGTTGGGTGTACCCCTTACGTGCACACACACACACACACACACACACGCACACCATGCCATCCGTCTGCTCAGGAACCACTCAGAAAACCACCTCCACTTTATACCAGGGAGACGCCCGCATCAGCCTCCAGCAGCAGAAGCAGGACTTGGCAACCCTTCCAGGCAGTGACTGCCAAATAGAAATTCCTGTGATGGCGGAAATATTCTATAATCTGCATTGTCCAGTATGGCAGCCACTAGCCACATGTAGCAGTCGAGCACCTGAAATGTGGCCTGTGCAACTGAGAAACTGAGTTTTTCACACACACACACACACACGCACACCATGCCATCCGTCTGCTCAGGAACCACTCAGAAAACCACCTCCACTTTATACCAGGGAGACGCCCGCATCAGCCTCCAGCAGCAGAAGCAGGACTTGGCAACCCTTCCAGGCAGTGACTGCCAAATAGAAATTCCTGTGATGGCGGAAATATTCTATAATCTGCATTGTCCAGTATGGCAGCCACTAGCCACATGTAGCAGTCGAGCACCTGAAATGTGGCCTGTGCAACTGAGAAACTGAGTTTTGACTTTTGTTTGATTTGAATTAATTTGAATTTAAATAGCCTCACATGGCTAGTGGCTCCCAGGCTGACAGCGGAAGAGCTGCGATCTTCATCCTGCAGCAAATGAGGATCAGCCCCTTCCCTGGATTGAACTGATGTGAACAGGGGCCCGGGCACGGCTGTTTCTAAAATCTCCCAGTTGATTCTAAGGTGTAACAAACCTTGAGAACTTGTGCTCTGGAGCATCTTCCTCATTCCAGCCTTTCATACATTCTCAAAGAAAAACTCATGTCAAACTGCCATGCTCGTTATTGGTGGGTGTTCTCTGCGTTCAGTTTTCTTATACAAAACAGTTAATGATTTTGGGGATCTTGGAAAGAGTAGGGTACATTTTTTGCACTAATATTAAAACTGATTCAAACTTTTCAAATATTAATAAATGACCAGGGGCTCAAATTTCTCCCCTGAACTCCAGCCATTTACAAAATTAACATATATATGGTACACATAAGCACATGCATAAACCATAATTTGAAAAGCAAATGCTAAGGATGACATGGTCGCCAGAAGCCCAGCCTAACAGATTTGTAAGTGTATTATACAGAATTTTGGGCATAGAACAGTGTTCTTCAGATCTCTAGAGCTAATTCATCTTACTTCAGGCCTGTTGGTTAACAACTCCCTGTTTCTCCCTCCCCCAGCCTCTGGTAATCACCATTTCACTCTTTGATCCTATGAACATAACTATTTTAGATACTTCACATGAGAAAATGATATTCTTTTTTTTTTATACATCCAAGAGAAAGTTTTATTTAAAGGTAAGTAGAGAGAAGCATCAGTGAGGATGTTCATCATAGTACTCTTTGTAATAACAGAGAGTTGGCAACAATTGAATTATTAATGGATAATTAATAGTTAGGTTTTTATTTTTCTTTTGCAGCTCATTTCTCACAAACAATCCTAGGTCACATCCTCTTGACCCTCTGGACTCTCTTCTTCCTAAATACTGCTTTCATGAGCAGCCTCTCACATGTTTATCCATGTGTTGGATAAAAATCTTCAATAGAAATTAGGCTGACATAGCCCAAGTATCTCTGCAAGATCTTTATGCTTCAAAATAGAAAAAGGTACCCAGAGGCCTAGAAATATGCCTAAGCAGTGCTCTAGGAGTGCTTTATAATAGCATTACTCTGTACTAATACAGAACCCCCACTCCTAGTAAATCAGTAGAAATGGTAGACACCCTAACTGAAAACTAAAGGCTATTTTTTTTATGCATTTATTTTTTCTTAAAGTATGTGTTTACCAATATAAACTGCTATCATATGTCTGCTTTTGCACT